AAGCGGAAGAGGGCAAGCTGCCATCGCTACTTTCGCCAGCATCAATCTCTGCTAGGGACAGTCCCAGCCGAGAAGGTTGCGATGTACCCAGAAGTCCTGCAGCACTCTTATGGGATCGCGGGGTGGGGCATTCCAATGGGCTGTTGGAACCTGTGGATACTGCTGCCGAGGATGGTCTACGTTCCGATTGTGAGAGGAACGAACGATCTGGTGAATTACGCATTGACAGAGTCAGCGCAGATGTCGGTCGCCGTGGAGACGGTACCGCTGGATACGACTTCTGTTGCAATTCGTGGCTCATGATTTGTGAGAGGGACTCTTCCTCGGCAATACTATTGGTATCGTCCGGGGCAACATTGGTGTCAACAGTGCTCTCGGGCGCCACTTCTTCATCGGATGAGCACGAGGAATCGCTGAGCTGACCAGCAGCTATGCGCTCCGCTTTGCTTAATGCTGCCGCAATGCATTCCTCGACCAGAACTGTGTACTCTATGCGAATTCGTTCCGCATATTCGACAATCTTGCGATGACGTACAACGGCATCAACTTTTGTCTTGGCAACTTGTTCAGTGTCTGCCGACAAGGCGGCCAGGCCCTGTTCTTGTTCCAAAGTGTTGGCGCTGGGAGACTGCCACTGAAGAACCTGCGAGATCCGCGATTCAGATTGTGGTGACAACGTTCGGAAGTCCTCTGCGTCTGTCCGGGATGATTCCTTGATCATCGGCATACTAATCTCCAGTGAAGTATCGCACAGGTCAAGAACGAGTTCCACGATGCGAGCCAGTGGTCTCCGCACTGTGAAGGAGCGGGGTCGGGTTGGAATAGCACCAGACGCAGAATGCTCTCGCGACCGAGGAGGCGTGCCGGGCGCCGAATTACTGCCTGAAACAGGGCCGGATGACGGCGCAGAGCTGGCCGTCGAAGGGCCGATGGCTAACCCCTTGTACTCCGCTTGAGGAAGGGGCAGTGGATTTCCATCGCTGCCGATGAAAGGTCTTCCTTGACGGGCCTCTAAAGCATCCAAGACCTTGACAATGGCATGTCGATGCTCATTGAGGTTTTCCTGTGCCATTTGAACATCCATCTCAGCCCGATGTTCCTGCAGACACAGATCCGAGTGTTTCTCGAACCACCATGGTGTAATCTGGCGTTCACAGATGCGACAGAGAACGGGGGTCGGGGCTGGATGCTTGGAAGGATCAGGTTCTGTCGCTGCAGCCTCGGCCAATTCGGTTAGATAATTTGCCAGCACCTCCGCTCCAACACCCAAAGACTCCACCAGCAGAGGCGGCAGATCGATTGTCACCTCTCTTGGCTCGGTAAGCGGTCGTAACATCCACATGGTCTGTATTCAAAAGGTGTCAGTATAACGATAAGACGGTGCATGGTTGAGGTACACACATGGCCAGCTTCGTCGTCTGTTCGGTCATAGACCATGATTCCCTGTCCCTCCATGTTGAGCACATTGTGATGATGTTCTTGCTCCTGCTCCTCCTGGGACTTCTCTCTGTCTTCTGCCTTCTCTCCGATGGCCTGATTCTCTGTAGCCGCCGGGGGTGGTTCAGGCGAGTACTTCAGGACAGAATCCGGTCCCATCTGGACGGCGAAGCGAATGAAACGACTTCGCGAATCATCCTGCTTCATGGATTCGATCGCATCACGGAACACATCCTTGTTGCCCAGCAGAATTTCCGATATCATATGGCCCTCCACTGACTCGGGGGATGAGCCAACCACCTGCTTCCATGACGGGCTGACCCATTTTATGCAACCCTCCATGTCCATATCCACAATGATGTTCAAGGTCTGTTCGGCCGCCTCCTTCAAGTCCTCACGTTCCTCTCGCATGTTATCGCTCAATGTTCGAACCATCTTCGGGTCGATATTCCGAGCCTCCTGCCGTAGCGCTGTCACGGCGGGAGGTGCGAGGAATTGTGGCTTGGGGGAATCATTGCTGGCCATGCTGACTCGCTCGGGAGACCCGGGGCGGGGATTCGAGGGTCAAGGGGTAGGAAGGCGACGGAGGAATGGATCAAGATAAAATAAAACAAGAATATTTTAGCCAAGCAGAACCGTCTGCTGGGCAGCGCGGGTGCCCTTAATCGAGGTTATTGATTCATCCGTAGCATCAACTGTCCATAGCGCAGTCGTAGGAATCGGGAACAAATCAATTCGAGAGGCTGAGAATGATGATTGTCAGCCAATCCACCGTTAGCTTTGTGTGATCAGAGGTGTCGAGAGAGACACAGGCTGAAACACGAAACGTTTAGACGGAGGATAACGGAAGCCGTGTCTCTGCGGGGAATCGCGCGACAGCGACGCGCTTCAACAACGTCAACCCCAGAGGAGGCTGACTGGAGAAAGGACACGAAACTTGATCAAAGATTGAGACCTGGGGTCACAGGAATGAAAAGTGAAAAAGTCGAGGGAATGTTTAAGAAGAGTGGTGATGGGGGGGGGAATCGAAGGAGTCGAGGGCGGTGATTGGCGAGCTGTGCGTTTCCTGCACCACGTACTTCCCACCTCTTTTTTTTTCTTCTTATAACTTGATATGAATATTTGAATATGAATATGTTTCGGTATCTAAGATCTAATTATGTCACATCGGGGGCGATATACGGAGCTACTATGTATATTGTATACATCCCATTTACAACTCAACGTCATGACATTTCTGTTGACATGAACCTAACTTGTGAACTAGTTAACTTAGGTACTGGGCTAGTATTACTATTACTAATTCCACAGATAAGCTGGGCAGTACTTTTGTCTCTTTTATGTAGACTATACTCTGTACTCCGTATAAGGAGTTTATTTCCAGATCCCTTGCCATATCTTTACCAAAAACAGCCAAATAGCAGAGGGAAAAAGGGAAGGAAAAGAAAAGAATGCTCCAAGTTGATTGGACGCCACCGGATGTAGTTCTCAATTCCCCATACAATGAGAACTTGCATCTCTCCTGCACTGTTATCATATGATATTATTGCCTACGGGGTATATGAAATGCTTCAACTGCTATATTACACTTGCACCAGGGACAGTTGATCTTATAGTCCCTGGCATGATATCAAGGCTACATAGCCAATAATGGGGAACTACAACTCTATATCCTCAGCGCACAGCCCCAAGACATCCTACCGGAATGTTCGGGGGCCACATCCAAGCACATCCAAGCACTCTGCTTCTTGTTTTTTAGTCCCGGATCTGCGGGGTAGTCAGCTGATATCTAGACGTTTCTGGACATTCTGGGGATGATCTTCATATTCTACTCATACAAAGTGTCACAGTTTCGGAGTTCATGAGATATCTCGCATTTCCAATTCAAAAGCCTTTCACTGGAGTTCATAGTATCGGAGTTCATGAAATATCTCGCATTTCCAATTTAAACGCATTTCACTAGAGTTCATAGTACTCCCCGAATCGACTTTACTCTTCCCCGGCAATCTACGTATTACTGCATGGGTCATCCCTGTCTATAACTCAACTTTATTATGAGAGGTAATTACGTACATCCCTTTGGAGAAATCATGGGGACTTGTAGGGTTTTCCGTCAAGTGCATGTACATTTACTAGTATTCCCACAATATATATCCGCATTTGATCCTTGCTTTTGGGAAAACAACTCTTTCGAGTCAATTCACTACAGTTACAATCAAGATATTATTATGTCAAATAGCCACATACTAACGACCTGTTATATAGGAGAAGTCAGTGTGCACATTTACACCTTTCTATCCTATCTTTGTGGCCAGTTCTTTGTATTTGTATATCTAAAAGAGAGATAAAACACACGATCTAGAAAGGCATCTAAAAAGACTACCGAAGATACTGCCGAAAGACACGGCAGGCCACATGAGTCGACTATTCTTAGAGACCATAACTAGTTGACCACGCAGTGACGCCGGTATACCGGAGGATACATTTATCTTGCATGTTTTGTAATCTATATTATGTAATCAAGGCTTATAACTAGTTAACTAACGTATTTCACCACTGAGCTGCGCACCCCAAAACACATAGTAAAAGCGATAAATTACGACATGATATTTCAACAACGGTTATCTATATAAGCTTTCCCTTGTAGCCTAATGCTTTTTATGTGATATCTAGCCACTTGTTAGGGTTTGGGGGAATTTAATAAATTAGTGATTGAGATATATATATTTCTAGAGTTCACCCAGGTATTTTTCGATACCATAATAATGCAAGTTCTCGATTTATTCAAAGTTGATATATGATACTAAAAATGCTTATCAATTGCTACCAGCGAGTAATGAAATTAAATAAAAGCGTTAGTTGTTGAAATATCATGTTGTAATTTATCGCTTTTACTATGTGTTTTGGGGTGCGCAGCTCGGTGGTGAAATACGTTCGTTAGTTGGTTATAAATTGTTAGCAGAGCCGATACAGAAATACAGAGAGTTACCATTGGACCCCTACATTTACAAATACGGAATGTTAACACACCATCATATCTGACCTGAATACCGAGGCATTGAATTGATGCCTGAGGTAGTAAGGTGTGATTCCTGCATTGCTGTGTCAAATAGTCCAACGACAGATCAGATACAGAAAAGGTATCACCCGACTTCGGACAATAGTTGACCTCAAATCCAACAAACCCCCCTTTATCCTGTTTTATGGCTAAACAGAGAGTTTTATCATACCAATTCCATCATACATTTTGATCCATCACATTTCTATCACTTTGTAATGTTGACATTCTATTAGTGTTGAACAGCGGAGTGGCATTCGCAAAATGAGTTCCTATTGGGGGCGAAAAAGAGACGGACTTCTTGAAGAATGGCAAGGCATTTTCAAAAAAAAAAACTGGAGTCAACAATCTCTGCCCATTTAACCATAGATTGTGTGGAGGGCCTGTTCAAAATCAGCACTGTGTACAAACTTCTTTGTAGGTGACTCACCTTTGGTATATCATGAAGTTGGATGCGGACCTGACCCATATCAGTAAATGCCACTAGTATTCTCTCGATGATCCCTTACGACCCGCCTAAACATTTGCCTATTGGGCAATGAATATCACAAATATTTGCACCCGACACGCCGTGTACTACAAAGCCCCAGTCGATCGGGGTCGTAGTCTGGACATCCGCACCAGCCCCAAAACTGGAAGATGCTGGGACTCGAGCCAATGGATACATGTACTCGTAGTAGCTTCCTGCCTCCACCGCAGCTACCTTGTATTTCTGCTCTGCGAGTCGTGCCGCGATGGTTACACCCGCTGTACCCCTTCCGACAACAATATAGTCGAAGGTGTCATTCTCGGCGATTTGAGACTTGGATGTATAACCGTTGGATAGGTCCCCAAAGATGCCAAGGATCCTTGAAAATATAGTGAGGAGGGCAATGCCAGAGAAAAGCAACATTGCAGAATGATGGGAGAGAATTATATGGTGATTATGTGGTTACAACTGAGCCAGCTAAGCCTTCCATACTCGTGCCTACCAAGTTAGGCTCTTGTATATTAACCGTTACTCACCTCATCCACGGAAGACGGAGTCACGAGAGCCGATTTGCACTTGGGAAGGGACATTGGAGCCCCAGTTACGGTGGATGGTGCGATATCTAATAGAGACTATGTACAACATATGGAGACACCCCAATCTCTACTTTGAGTTGCAATTAAAATATGAAGTTGAAGGTATTAGTTTCATTTCTCTCGCTCTCTGTGTATCCCAGCATGGTTCTCCTGTTTCCAACTGTACCGGCTGAACCTAGTATACCCTAGGGATCCCATTTATTCGAGGAGACGCACCACTGCACACCTTCGAAGAAGCTTACGCAGCAGACCTAGGATAACCTTATCCTGCTTTGCGATGTCTCGACCGAAGAACATCTTGTTTGCCTTTGTATCTAGCACGGGCCTTCTTCTCGAATCGAATAGGGGTGGCAACAGAGTCCCAGGAATCCAGAAGGTCGACGATGTTAATGTGGACATGAGCTAGTGTCTGATAGTAGGAGACACCAAGAGCTCGTCGATGCTTATTGGGATGTCACAGAGGAGCAAATGTGGGAGCAACTGGAAGAGGGACTGGTGGAAGCGGAATAGACATGTGCGGTTGTCTAAAGCCGACAATGAAGGCCGGCCTATGAAATAAGTAGGAAAGGATCTATCTTTACATGTGATAAATGTGATGAAGATGTTAATTCGAGAGAAATATGAGAAAGTGAGGAGGACGGCAAGAGAAGAGTGGCAGATGGTGGTGACAGGCGACAAAAAAGGGATGTGGAAAAAGGAAAGGAGACTGTCATTTAAAGAAGAACATGAGACCCACGTATAATAGTTACAAATAAGATATACAATATGACAGATGTACAAAGATTCACATTTTCATTGCTTTGGAAACTAAAATTCCCCCATGCCTTGTGTACCGCCTCAAGCCCCAATCCAGCCCCACCCATAAGAATCAAAGTCATTTCCCGTGTTTCAGACTAGACCTGATGTACCCAGTAGATTTCGAGGATCTTGTGTCTTAGAAAAGACATCCTGTAGAAAGCGACTATTCAGACAAGCTTGCGGAGAAGAACTCAAAGAGAGTCAGAGTCGAATTGGTGTCCTAAGTATCGAGAAGGTCGACGATATTGACATACACGCGAGCGAGAACGCTAGAATAGTAAGCAAGTGAAATCAATAAGGTTTACCAAAGACTAAGGTCAATATATACGTACCTCTTTGCATTGATTGATCGAGTTGAAGGAGTCCTTGATTCCGACTTTTCTACACAACTCTTGCTAAGTGGTAAGGCTGGTGACACGACAGCCCCATTAGTCGGTCATATTCACTGTTCATGCAGACATTCCAGTTTTTCCTCCATTTCTTAGAGCCCGAATTCTAGCCTCGCTGTAGGCTGACGAGGCCAAAGGCAAAGGTGATAGGGAGGTCCAGGTCATGCTGGGCGCCGAAGTTTCTTAGAACCTGGCTGTGGTGCCCCGAAGGAGAAAGCGGGATGAACATCGTGGCTGTTTGGTCGTCGAGAGTTGATAGTACCCGTGAACGTGGTAAATCAGTAAAAAGTGAGAGGATTACTCTTCGCTCACAATTATTGACAATGAAGTCGGTCAAGGTAGCAGCTTAAGAGAGAGATAAGATAGGTAGTCGCGGATGGTAAAGAGAGAATGTGAGATGGAGCTGACAGGTGAGAAATAAGAGAAATGAAAAGAAACTCATATGAAAATGGGAGGAAAGGGGAAGAGGCTGCGACAGCAAGAGAGAACATTGGAGCCATAGTTACGACGTATAGCTACGAAGATACCTAACTGTACACTCAACACTCTTTATGGCTCAGATTGCCAGATGTTTCAACCATGTTAGAAGTAAAAACCCCCAATTCCATTGTGTAGAGCTGGTCGTACTGCATGTGCCCCATGCGTTCCAGATCATATGCCTGGAAAGACTGCTGTGAATCCCAAAGAAATCATTCCTCACAGCAGCTGGCGGAGCAGAACCTACAGAGCCTTATCATGCTTGGCAAGTTGTCGACCGAAGAACTTCTGGCTTTTCTTTGTGTATTTTGGCAAGGGCCTCCTTACTGTTGAATCGAGTAGGGATAGCATCTGAGTTCCATCTAGAACGTCAACCAGGCTCACGTGCACACGGGCCAGGGCCTACAATCGTAGGCATATGATATTAAATTCCCAAATACAAGGATCTTACTTTCCTGCACTGCCTAATCGACGTGAAGGAATCTCGGATTTCCATTTTGGCACGTAACTCTTGCCAGGTAGCGAGGCTGGGACACCAAGCATCTACAGAAGCTGGTTGGGATGGTCCGAATGACAGAGCGGAAACAACACAGTGGTGGTCTACAGTTGACAACACAAGTTAGTTTCGCCAATCAGCAGAAGGGTGGGGACTGGGTGTTAGTTACCTTGACGAGGAAGGTAGTGCAGGTGGTGGTTTGGGATAGAGAGATAAGAAGGCAGTGAAGGTACAATATTCTACACTGCAGAGACCGATGGAATTACAACCTTGGAGAGGTTCAATGTGTCAAATTCTCATTTATTTGAGCCATCTCAAAACCAAAGCTCCCCCATCAAATATCAAGATTGTAGCCCATGAAAGACATCCTCCAGAATCATATGCCTGAAGTCACATATTTCTCAATTGAAAGAAGGAGCCGCATTAAAGAAGCTTACGGAGGAGAACACGCAGGACCTTGTCCTGCTTGGCGATGTGTCGATTGAAGAACTTTTTGTTGGCCTGGCTGTATGCGGCGAGGGCCTGCTTGTTCTTAAATCGAGTCGGAGTGGCGTCCGAATTCCAGCAATCTAGAACGTCGACGATATTGATGTGAACCCGAGCTAGTGCCTGCATATATCAGTAAGCGAGTGATACCAAGTTGCTCGACACAGGACCTTACCTTCTTGCACTGGGTAATCGAGGCGAAGGAGCCTTTGATTCCCACCTTCATGCACAGCTCCTGCCAGGTGGCTAGGCTATTCACACGGCAGCCAATGAGACGGTCATACTCGCTATTCATGCAGGCATTCCAATTCCTCTTCCAAGTCGTTGAACCTGGCTTCCAGCCTCGCTGTTGGCCAACCAGACAGAAGGCAGAACTGACTGGAAGGTCTGGATTGTGGGAGGCGCCTAGCTTCTGTAGAAGCTGGTTGGGATGCTCCGAGGGAGCAAGTGGGATACGCATCGTGGTGGTCTGACATTAACAACACGAGTTAGTTGGGCCTATTGGTGGGGAGTGTCGGTACTTGCTTTCCTTTACCTTGATGGGGATAATAAAGGTGCCAAGTGGAGAGAGAGAGAGAGATGAGAAGAAGGTAAGTTAAGAATGCCAAGAAAGGACTGACAGAGAAGAAAGAAAGAGCTTGAAGAGAAAGAGAGTGAAGAAGGATATCAGAAGGATGGATGAAAAATCCAGTCTGAAGATTTCGTATTGGCCGGAGAGCAAACGCAACGAGCAGTCCCAAGTCAGTCCCAACTCTGATCTTCAAATATATTTCTATCCATCTACAATATCGCAATCATCTATATTGGAGCTCATCTATACTGGGTTAACCGGCATCTGCGAAATAGACCATATATTCTACTCATTCTCGAATGAGGTACCATAATTTGTACGTGAGCATCAGAAAGAGCCAAGCTTCAATTCAGAGCTCCAATTTATGACTCTTACCAGGAATCCACTCTCAAATTGAAAATCCCAATATCGAAATCCTCTATCTACTACATCTAGTAAGGAAGCGTGGCACGTGGCCCGACGTCACAGCTAGGCTCCATTCAACGAGATATAATCCCTCAGTGCGACACCATGGCTCAACGTGAAGATAATAGCGATGAATCGACAGACTCCGAAGCCTTGCCCATCGCATAGAATGCGAGAATATCCCAATTTGTCGCAACAAATCTAGGACTGATGGCAGACTCGGCGATTCTGAAACGATCTCTGAGGTTGAATTCGGTCATTTTGACGCCCTCGTCCTTTAGCATCCGGTCCCAAAATGCGAGCTCTCGACCCCACTTGCAACAGCTCAATCAAATCGGAGCTGGGCTACAGCGAGTGGTCTTTGAACAGGTTGGCAAGCCTTTGGCCACGAAAGAAGGAAACCCCTGGAAACGAAACGCTCCAATCAAACTCCTATCACGAGTACATGTTGCACTGTGACGTTTCGGCCGCATTTGAACAATACCAGTCCATTAGCAGTGAAGTCCACGTTCCGAAACCCTTTAAGTTTATCTCCTGGGAAGAGAACGACGCGTTCTAGGATGAGATTTTACCAAAAGCCCCAGCCCTACCGCATGCGCGGGGATCTTGTGATGATGGACCGGATTATTCCGTTACCGAAAGTCGTGCGGAAAGCCTTGATCTTTCTGCTATATGTCCCCGAGAAAAACCTTGGCAGCACTGAAATCGAATCCCTCCTCGATCACCCTGCAAACAAGCACTGCCTCGCCCGAGTTTATCTTGGCAAGGCCAATGGTACTATTGACCGCAGAGCCCCGCTGAGACACTTCCCTTTGTATCTTGAGTCGATGGAGCATATTGACATCGAGACTCTCCCGCTCGCAAGCGCAATGGGCAAAGCACATGCAATCTTGCACTGGAGTGCCGCCATTAATAGCGATGACGTGGAGTTTGTGCTTGGTACATCGGTCACAGATGCCCAGTGAGAAGACCGTGTGTCGGATTTGCAGCACTACGGGGTTCGGATATATACCTTAGATTTCGGATCATGCGAGGCAGTAGACCTGACTCAAGCTCCCAATGTCGTTTATCAAGCTTCCAAAGGAGCCATGGTGTTGGGGGATAATGAACAATTTATTCCACATTACTCGAGGAGCCCGGCACTGTTTGCGACATTCCTAAAGGGATACATTGAAGCAGGCAATATTATTCTATCAGACGAGCGGCTGAAGAATAAGTTCAACAAGGAGTTTATGCAGGAGTATGAAGAGTATGCCGAGGACTTCCTATAACTTCGTTACGACTTGGTAACTGAACATTTTCATCCCCCTTAACAGAAAAATAATTAATTCAGTGTATTCGGGTCGATACGAGCGAAACGACAGGCCGAAATGGGGCGATCCGGGGGTTTCTTGGCGGAATGCGGAAACAGCTCTTGGACCTGTCAATTTACAGGCTTTTAAGAAATGGCGTATCAAAGCGTCCGTTAGAATGCCACATGGCGTTTCTTATTTGTTTTCTTGGCTCAGCTTAGGCCTTTCCAATGGGTACTTTGGGATGGCGTGCTATGGCGTATCCTACATCACAGCTTGCGTGCTGAATGGTCGATCATCCCTGCAGAGCTCAGATTTAAAACTTGATGTAAGGAGCGCGGTTGTTCTTTGAATCTCTTTTTCCTTGTACGTCGCACATCATGGGGTTACCAGGAACCAGGCTCGGGGCTTTCCGCGCATACTTCTTTGGATACTTTGTCTGTACGGCGGGTTTCTTGTTTGGATATGACACCGGAATTGTTGGTAAGTGGAAACGAACATCCCTTTGATCATCGCTGACAGTGTTGATAGGTGGTATCCTCGAGTTCAAGTCCTATGTCGATGATTTCGGCTATACGGACCAAACAACCGTCAGTGCTGTGATGGTAAGCTTGCAGAATGTCGGTGCATTCCTATCGGCTTTAGGAATCTTCTGGGTGTCCGAACGGTACGGGCGAAAGAAAACAGTCCAGGCAGCCATGACGGTGTTCTGCCTCGGTGTGATTCTCCAGGTGGTACCTTCACACTCACTCGTCTGCTTCTACATTGGGCGGTTTGTCGCTGGCCTAGGTCTCGGCGCAGGCACTGCGGTCGTCCCAGCATACAACGCCGAGATGGCGCCCAAGGAAATCCGAGGCAAGCTAGGTTCAGGAATGCAATGGCTCTTTGCACTGGGTGTAATGCTGAGCTACTGGATTGACTATGCTGTGAAGCTCACACTGCCCGTCTCTTCAAAGCAGTGGCAGATTCCCGTTGGTCTCCAGATGGTGCCAGCTGGAGTTCTTGCCCTGGGCCTCTGTGCTATGCCTGAAAGTGTACGCTGGTTAGCCAAGAAGGGTCGTTTTGATGAAGCATGGGAAAGCCTGGCATGGATGCGAGCTAGTGAAGGTAGTGAAATACCCCCTACGAAACAACAATGGGGCACAGTGCTAATCAGCACTCAATAGGCTTGGAAGTGAAGGCAGAGTTCAACGAAATTCGAGTTGGGCTTGAGGAAGAGCGACGAGCCACCGAGGGATTTAATAAGCGTGAGCTTCTCGAGCCCGCCAATCGCTACAGACTGCTGCTCGCCGTTTTCATGTTCTGTGGTCAGCAGTGTACCGGCATGACCGCCCTTGCTTACTTCGGCCCTCAGTTCTTCAAACTGCTGGTCGGCAACAACACTAACCAGTCCCTTCTCATCACTGGACTTTTTGGCGCCGAGAAGTTTGTCACAGTTGGCATCTATATCTTGTTCTTCTCCGAGATGTGGGGACGCAAGCCGACACTTTGGATTTCAGCTCTGTTAATGGCCGGTTGCTTCATTATTGTGACAGTCGTCAAGGAAACCACCCCAGAGCCCGATGCAAAAGCCACTTCAGCTGGCATTGGCATGGTGGCTATGATTTTCCTAACCAACTCGATCTACCAATTCAGCTGGGGGCCATTGCCGTGGCCATACACCGCCGAGGTAAGTAATACTCTTCATATATCACCCGTTCAGCCACTGATTGAACATCTAGATCTTCCCAACACGAATCCGAGAGATCGGAACCTCGGTCGCAGTATCAACGCAGTGGCTTTTCAACTTCCTTTTCTCCCTAGTGACACGCTACATGATGAATTCGTGGGGCAGTTACGTTTTTCTTTTCTATGCAATCCTGGATATCATCATGGCAATCATTGTCTTCTTCTTCGTTAAGGAGACGAAAGGGAAAAGCCTTGAAGAGATGGAAACCATATTCCACAGCAAGGCTGCATTTGATGTTGATGCTGTCCGGCGGGATGCGTTCAAAGATGTAGCTGCGGAGCAAGTTAATGTACATAACAAGGCCGTAGCCCCTTGACTTTATATCAACTAAAAACAATAAACATCTCTCTTATAACTAGAAGATTCGAACACTATAAAAACTATGGCATTTAGGCAGATAGCCGTAGATTGACCAATCACAGACCTCAGGATTGATCTAGTCTAAAACGGGGCACGGATACGAGAAAAAGCCTCGTGGCACTTTTTCCTTCTGTTTTTTATCTTTTGAATTGTCGAGCAGGGTGTGGATAGCAAAACCATCTAAATTGCTGATCAATTGGACGCGAATGGGTAAGTGGATATCTATGCTACCCGCAAAGTATGAGTCCATGACTGACAATGGGGTGTAGGCTATTCTGAGGTACAGTCATTTTGGGTTAGGAGATAAATATACCTGACAGCTTGGTAGTTCCGTTGCCATCTTTGTGGCGTGAGCTTCAACATCATCTTTCGCCTACAATCTGGGGAGCTAGACGTGCCTGGTCCTGATTGGGTCCAAAAACAATGCGACGAGACAGACGACGATTCTAAAGATGATGAATACACGGCCCAGGATCTTGACTATCAATCCCTCAAAGATTATGAGGACGATGAGCCATATGAATATGACTCTGATTACGAATCTGATGACATGAGCCTTGGCAGAGAGGATATGCCTGACAAGGAACACAGCGAAGACAGCAGTTCTGATGCAAATGACGACCCGGAAGGTCAAATGTACTACAACTGGGTATTGCAAACTTTCAATCCATGGAGCGCTACGATGAGAGAATCCCAAATGCCCGTTGGATACTTTGATACTCCAATGTCAGGCTACTCGGCTGATGCTATCTCACCCGAGGAGGCGAGAGGCTGTCGCACCGCCCAGTTCCTGGTACACAAAACCACTCAAAGGGATCTGTGGAAGGCTGACCAGCTACATGAGCCCTGGGAGATCAATGGAGATTGGTCTTTATCTGGAATTTGCGACGGAACGCCGTCGCGCGATTCAAGTGACCCAACAGTATGGCCCGCACGAAACGGGATCCAAATTGTAGAGGCGGACAATGTGAAATTTTCAGTGAGTTCATGTCTCCAATGCTTTTTTGGGCCGGCTTGGCAGCACAACCCTGACACTTGCCAGTACCAGGAAGGTATAGAAGCGGATGATATAGCCATGCCATTCCATCCGTGGTGCTTTGATATCTTCTGCCGACAATCCAAAGTCCAGTTTCAACGTGTCAACGCCGCAGGTCTCATGACCTGGCGTAATGCCGAATTTGAATGGGATGCATTTAGATCATTTCCTCGAGCCAAAGAGGTTAGAAGTGCATGGGACCAGTGGTGGGCCCATGAGACTGGTAGCGAGTATCTGGTTGCCAATCCTCTTTATGTGCCCGGACTTCCAGAACTTCTTCTCGCCGCGGTGAAGAATGAAGGATCGCCTTCTTCATCTGACTCATGTCATGAGATTAAGTCGTCTCAGCCCGTGACGAACCTCCCTTCCGCATCTCACCATAGCCCGGCCGACTTTCTCTCCTCACTTCCCTCAGAAATTCAGCTCATGATCATCGGCTATTTAGACTCTAAGGATGTCATTAGTCTAGGTCTTACGTCTAGGGCATTCACTCAACTCCCAAACTGTGTGTGGTACGGACTAGTACGCAAAGAAATGCCCTGGTTGTGGGAAGCCTGGGAAGAATCCGAATGTATACACAACCCTTCGCCCTGGACAATCCTAACAACAGCCGATATCAAGTGTGTACTCACAGCACGGAGTGAGTATGCCCGGGCCTTGGTTGACGATTCTTACACACAGCTTGCTGCCGAGAAAGCTGCCGAGCACCGATTTGCTCTGTCCACGACCATACCAGACCAGGTGAAATTGCCCCGAGTAAATACTGACTGGCGTCGTGTGTTTATGCAAATCCAACTCAATTGGCATGAGCTCAAGGGGTTACGGAACCGACAGAGAATCTGGGTGGATGTGGAGGAGGCTGTGAGGCGTATTTGCAAGTTTGATCCATAGTGCACTGAAAATCATGTACATCTGTTCTATGATATTGCTGGCAAGATCAATGTTTCCCGAGACTCTGCATATTTGGAGCCCTAAACCGATAACATAGATAAGCTGGCAGTTATACCTAAAAAGGAAAGCCATATCTTTTCTCCACCTCGTCATCGGTGAATTGTCGGCAAAAAAAACCCGCTTCGTGGTGGTGACCTTGATATATATGTATCTACGGAGTATATGTACCGGGTTTTCCCCGGCGGGTAAGGCTTTCCTATTTGATCTGCCGCCGCTTTTGCGAGGGTGCTCAGGCTCACAGTAGATGTCAGCATGGGCTCATATCAGCGATCATGCTCAATTCAGTCACGTGCAGAATAACTGCGCCCATTTTTCTTAGCATTTCTGTAACGGGCCCGGCTGGGATCACGTGAGGCACGTGCCCACAACACATATAAACCCTCATCAACGGCAGATAGTCACCCTTTCTCCAAGATTGATGTAAACAGCATGTTGGCCTAGCCTAATTGAATCAATAAAGCTACAGCCCTTCACACTACCATTTCTGCAGTCCTTCCTACTCGCGTGTCCATACCTACATTCCTATCAAGGATCCTAAAAAGGTTATAATAGCCAGATCATGTGATATTCCTTGAATAGTAGTCACGTGCATTCTGCTTATTCAGGCTAATACTATTGGAGCCTTGTATATTAGGCCAAATGCGGGATGACCATCACGTGGCGATCACTCACTATTTTGGGGCCACAACCTGATTGGTCTGTTGCCCTGCACTGCCAGCATCACTCCTGGATGGCTCAGCAGTTGCGGGCCAAAGACGGTGCATTTGATTGCCCCAGAGGCTCGATGGGCATACTTAATGACCTCAGCCATGCGAACAGATCCCAGTGACCCTTGATTCGAACAGGGCTGATTCTTGACTGATCTGAGAATCCAGATATTTAATGAACTCACTGGTCTCGGGTTCTTGGAAACTAATCACAAATCTACTCCGAATGATACCATTCTCAATTTCATCATCTTCATCATGAATCCAGCTGCACAGTATATCATCACCCATAGCTCCTGGCGCAGCCACTACGATGTCAGCACAAAAGACAAAACACACCTCTACCGCGTCGCCAGCTCCTCCTTCACACCAGGAAAGCCGGATCTTACTTTCCACCGCAGCGCTGACTCCAATGGGCCCATTGCGGGAGTGTGTAAGTTCCGACACTTCTCCTCAGACTGCGAGATCGGTCTAGGGGACCCCCAACGGCCCAACAAAATGGACTGGCAATACCTACACAAGGAAGGCTTTATGAAGCGCACACACTGGTTCTGCATGCAGCTGGAGGATGGCACAAAGCAAACTTTCACCTGGAAACGAACCCACTCGCTTGGCACCGGCTCGGAAAACTATAAACTAGTCGAGGAGGCCAGGCAGACCGTGGTGGCGGTCTTTTCTTCCGGCGGCACCTTTTCCAAAACCACCGGCTACTTGGATATCTACTTGCATCTAGGGCCGCAGTTTTACCTCATGGCGCTTATCTCGCGACTTGCCATTGTCGAGAGGGACAGTCGACAGAGGTCGGCGGGGGCGGGCGGCGCTGCAGGTGGGGGAGCGTGTTAGGCCAAGGCTTGAGGTTTCATTAATGGCGTTCGGTATATCACATAATTACGAAGCCAGGGAAATCTTAGCGAGAGTTGCTGTTTATTTAGTGTTACATTAGCTATGATACCCTCGGCACGACTGCCACGTTCTTCTGGATAGGCTTTACTAAATATCTTGGACTGCTTTACTACCTGTTTTGCTTTACGGTCATATATATAGAAAAGTCAATTCGCACATCTCACACCTTGTTTACAGTGATATTCGAAATCAGATTTCTAGTAGCCGAATACAGGCACAGACGCGAACCTCTATATTAGGGTATTTCCTTATATTATATTTTTTATATATACCTATAGCTCGTAATAAGCGATATACAAAGCCCCTTTATTTTTAACTATTTTATTCAATTTATGGTGGTTGATAGAAGTCTTCTAACTAGACCGGAAGGTTTAGTTCAAAATTCCTAAACGGGAAGTTTTGGTCCAAAATGCAGACGTCTTCTGCATTTTCGACCATGCTCTTCTCCTGCATTTCGGACCAAACCCTTCTCCTGCATTTTATATCATACTAAACTTCTACATTTTAGTTAGACTTCGGCAGAACCCATTTTGGGTCGGATGTGAAGGGACGTAGCCAGTCTTGATTCAAACTAACTAAGCCGTTTGCAGTTATCTAAAAGCTTAAGGAAAGAAGTAGGAGCTGACGGGGTCGAACGTAAATGCACTGGCCGTTACACCTATTAAGCTATCGAATAGGAGTGCTATGAGAGCCCCACGGGAGCCCCATGGGAATCCCACGGGAGTCCCATAGGAGTCCCATTTTATAAAGAGCTAATCAGATTTAGGGGTATCTGTGATCAAGTTAGGATAACTACTCAGGGACGTGCTCGGTTTTACTCAGTGATCGAAAAGCGGCAAGGGATGAGCACTAAAACGGAAACGGAAAGGTCTCAAGTAACGGATAAATGTCCTTTGAACATGGAGACAGAGTCACCGACTCCACCAGTTGGGAAACGAGAGTGAATCGCCAAGGAATCATCGCATGGGCCCCATGTGAGCATAGCGGGGTTTTCTCATACAACATACATAGTCCAGGATACCCCTGGATGCCGTTTTCCTCTGGCAATAATTAGTCTTGGCACACACAGACAATACAATCTGTCTCTATATCTTCAAAATGGCCGCTACTGAGAAACGTCCAGAGATCATCGAGCTTGCTCGGGGACTTGCGCGGGTGCCTATGTGCGAGGACTATGAGCGAATGATATCTGGAATGATGTAGGTATCATTCACAATATACTTACAATGGATTTTTAACAGTTTAGGTACAATCCCACCATCCCAAAACTCCAAGAGGCGCGGCATGTGTGCCGGGGACTTGCTGCCGACTACAACAGCCTGGACGCCAAGACAGTGTCCTATGACAAGATCGGCGACAAGCGCCTTGAATTATTGCGGAAACTCGTCGGCAAAGTTGGAGATGGGACATTCATCGAGCCACCTTTTTTACCAGACTACGGATGCAATACTATGATTGGAAAGGACTGCTTCTTTAACTGGAAGTGAGTCTGTCTTTTCTCCTCGTGTCTCATCAAAACTTACCAACAATTCCTAGCGTTACCATACTTGACACCAGCCTAGTTGTCATCGGCGACCGCGTACAGATTGGGACTGGTGTTAGTATTATCACGGCTGGTCATGATACCAGCATCCTGTCTCGCCGCAAGTTCGTTGAGTTCGGCCATCCAATCTTTATCGAAGACGACTGCTGGATTGGAAGTAATGTGATTATTCTGCCCGGTGTTCGGATCGGCCAGGGCTCGACGATTGGAGCTGGATCTGTTGTCACTAAGGATATCCCGCCGTTTTCTGTCGCTGTTGGCACTCCTTGTCGCGTGAAGAAGACAATTCCATCGGCGGAAGAAGAGGAGCAGGATCCTGATAATCCGTACCGCAATTTGGTTCGTGAGGATCGATAGATCTAGATTTACGGTCGGAAATAATTAGAATAGATCCATTCGTTCTTTTTCTCGATATGATATCCAAAACGCTACTGTGTCCCAAGTGATGGTGGAATTGATCAAATACATACATATCTGGTATTAGATATGCTGACTTTGGAGCAATCAATGAAAGGGACATCACTAGTAAGGAAAAGGTCGCAGGACTGGAAGAGACAAGACACGTAGGTAGTCGACTCGATTTATTATCCCACACTTCAAACTTCAAACATTTTACTTGCATCTGCGCGTTCCTCTCTCCTTGACACGGCAATCACATTTTTCTCACACCCTCTCCCGCTCCATACTTCACATCTGACGCTATTTTGCTCCCTGTCACATCCAGTCGCTACATGTTCAGCCATGTTCTTTCAATCAGACGATCCAACATCATCCATGACTCTACCATGTCGCGATCACCACCTCCATCGCTATCGTCAATGTTGCGCATTCCTCTTGCCCTGAGACGCACTGGCACGCAACGACCTACCACGGACGAAACATACATCAGCTGGCGGCATCATTCCCCGTCCAATGAGCCAGTTACCTGGTATGATACCCGTGTCACTCGCGTATATGCTCTTCGCTACTCGAATGGCAATGCTAGAACCCGTGGAGCACCGTAACCTAAGTATCAGTACACGAAATATGGAACTACTGTTCCACTCGTGGTCCACAAACCCTGTGCAACTTACCTGATGACAAACGGTCCTTTCTCAGCCGACCGCAGTCACGCCCTATACCAATCTTTCGGTCGAACCCTCCCTCCCTCGCTGAACAGCGTCCCCGATGAGGTACGCAGCGAAGGCGATATCCCCACGATACGTGACGTACTATCCTATGAGGCCGTACGCACCGAAGCCGATATCGCAGCCGTGCTTGACGCGCTGACCTATGACATTGGCCTACGTTTCCTCGCGGAAGCAGTCCGCAAAGCGCCAGCATCAGATGAAATCGCCGTGTATGCTGAGGTTCTCACGCACAGGATGGGATACAATGCCAGGCGGATAGCAAGATGTGGCAACGTATCTACAATGATTTCAAGAGGGCATACAGTCGGCCTTTGGTGGTTGACAGCACACCTGCACAGACCGTCCAACCAAGGACACAGTCGACGACAGATGAGCCAGCCACAGTTCAAACAGCAACAACCCGGACGATACCTCCCTAGCCAATGATGGCCCGTAATGCGAGCGGTGAGATGACTCTAATCTCATGAAGTGCATTGGGCTTGCATGTACAAAACGATACTGACCTTGCGTCATTATCTGACTATCCGATGAAGGAATAGCTGTGAAGGACACGCTGTGTTTGCAGAATTTGGGATTTTGTACCTACGGCGCACCTTCTACTATGTCAGTCAATTTCGACTGATCCTCACAGTGTTGGCAGATGCCATCAACCCCTGTGTCATCGGACCTGGGTCACAGGCCCGTCTTGGTAGATAAGCAGCATCAGCTATGAGTAATACCACAATCTTTCTCCATTTTCATTGTCGAAGTACATATTGAATGGGCAGAAACGTCCTATCTACCAATACCCCGAAATTCCGCTGTTTGAACAACAGAAAAGACCTCGAGCTCATCGCTGAGATGCGATCCATCAGCGCCATTGAGAACCTTAGAATGCCCCAAACCCCCTTTTTCACTGAACCTTGGAAACTTGGAAGACATAACCTGGGGAACCTTGGAAACAGTTACGAAGATCTAAGTTAGAGTTTAGAAAACCACGGTTCCAAATCACAGTTCCAAGGTTACCGAGATTAACTAGTAACCATACTCGAAAGAGAATACATATGTGCTTAACATCAATTGAATTGTTGAGGCTAGACAATGTCCGCGCTGGGTATGGAATTCTAACATAGACAGATGCAACGAACAACCAGGGGACCAAATATTTCGTATAGTAAACACTTAAACAAGATACCTGAAACCCTTGCGCATACGCAACGACTCGTCTGGGTGATCGATGATATCATTCTGGGTCGATCCTTCTCTAGCATTATCAGAAAGCTCACTCTCCTCGAGTTGGTGGTTCAAGCTGAGGAGCATCGAGCGGAAATACCAGCATCCGGCGACTGTGACACCGAACATAGCCAACACGATTCCGTAGCTGGAGCGGTATCCGTTGTCCGACAAGTCCCAGACGTACGAGCCAGCGACGTTGCCTAACTGACTGAAGGCGTTGATCATGGCAATGGCGACGGCTCGCTTGGCGGGAGGGCGTGGGAAGGAGGAACTGATCCATGAGTAGAATACAATGAATCCTGCATAGGAACCAGCCTGCAGGAATAGTGCGACATAGCGAGCGGCAACATTGCTCGTGGCCATGCAAATAATGAAGCCAACAGTTCCCATGCTTATCGGGCCGATGATATGCCAGACCTTTTCTTGTGTTTTATCCGCGTGCCATGCGTTGACGACGGAGAAAAGACAAGCGAAAACCCAAGGGGGAGCGCTCATCAGCAGAGTTGGAACATAATCGAATCCGAGAGTACCAGTGAGGGTAGGCTGTGAGTAGGTCAGTAAAAAGTTCCAATTGGTCGTTTGATGTGAAAATACTTACGAAGAAAGCATTGAAGCTGAGGCCGACCACATAAGCAACAAAAGTGAACATCATAACATAGATCTTTGGGTCGTGTAGAGCGAGCATGAGGCCTCCAAAGGCACCAAGCTCTTCGCTGTCGGTGTCGGCCTCGCCGACATCCTCGAGCATGCGAAGTTGCGCAACTTGACGCTCTTCCTCGGTGAAGCCGCGTGCATTGTGCGGCAGATCAGGCAAGATGAATGCGGCTAGGATGGCCAGGAACATGGTCACCGAGCCCTCGATCCAGAAGAGCCAGCGCCAGGCGGCGTGGCCCAAGACGCCTTGCATGTTGGATAGGACACCGGCACCGACGAGAGCGGAGAATGCATTGGAGATGAGGTTACCACAGAACAGAATAGCGTTCCGGGTAGTCAGTTCCCGGCGTGTGTACCACTTGGAGAGGATGAGCAGGGCTCCGGGCAGGAACGCCGCCTCGACGAAACCCAGCAGGAAACGGACAGCCACCATATCGCCAAAATTCTTGGTGTTGCCGGACAAGGTGGAAATCACACCCCACAGTAACATTGCCACGGCGATGTAGAGTGAAGGCCGGGAGATGCGGTTGATGAACATGTTGGAAGGTACCTGCATGATGATGTAGCCGACGTAGAGGATACTCAGACATGTGGAGTAATCGGTGTTGCTTAGGTTGAGATCTTCCTGCAGACCCTTCAGACGAGCCGCTGCCATATTGTTTCTATCCAAATAATTCATAACTGCGGAACGGGTGGTCAGTGTGAAGTTCATGTATAGATCGAACAATGGCGAGGTTGAGGGCTACTCACTATAGATGGCGACGAACAGGCTGCACCGGGCATCGAGCTTGCGCTTGAGCTGCTTCTCGACGACTATCCGACGAGCTGGGTCTATCTGAGACATGTCATCTTGCTTTGGTGAGGCAATGTGTTCGACATTTTCACTCTGTTGCTTGTCGGCGTCGATCTCTATCCGGTCATGGTTTTCCCGTGAAATATGGTCCGGCATTGTGTGTGTGATATTGAGCAAGGCCAAGTAATCGGATCGGACAAGAGCAGATGCTTGTATTTAAGAAGAAATAAACCCTCTTCCCCGGTATGGTACCCCCACGCCGAGAATGGTACATTGTAGATACGCGGGGGTTCGAGTGGGGCCGAGTCGGGCGAGTCTGAGCCCTTGGAACGAGTGTTCCGAGATTCGGGCTCAACCAATGATATCTCAATCCATAGTATGATGTGTGGGAATTCCCCGGTCTAGCCGGTGCAAGCTGGCGAGCGAAACATCTGATAGGATACGCGTGAAAGGGATGAAAATTAGGGGAAAGTTCACCCCGTGTTTATCGGCACGGGATCCCTCTTAGGGAGTCACGGGATCACTCGGCTCTCGGTCTTCACTGGAAGACGACCGAAAACCCCACAGTCAGAAACGGAAGAAACCGGTCAAAAGAAGACAAAACGAGAAAAACAAGAACGGTCAGAGCCGATATCCACATCGGCACACGGCATACGAATCGATTACCTCCCCGCCTCTCCGCAGTTTATCCTCCTTTCTCTCACCGAAGCCAGGAATGAGATCATATCCCCGGAAAGCCAGTCCAAAAGAACGTGGGGAAAAGCTACACATGCAACACTGTATGTTAAACCGGGGGATACGGGCTGGAGTATCGCGGACGTCCGAAAAATCTGAAAAAGCTTGACAAATAGATTCTCGACTTTCTATCCACTGGCGTATTACATTCCAAGCACAACCCGGCATTCACCCGGTCCCCCCACGCTCGGCCTGCCGATATTTTGCCGGTTTCCCAACGGAATGGCGAGTAGCTTACATTACATGGACACCAGTGGCTTCGGCCTGCTCTGTCAGCTCAATTTCCTCCATGTGGTCATCCTCATGCCAGCCTTCCCGATCATCCTTGACCAGTCGGACAAAGCAGACGTCAAGTATAAGCGCGATGGCACTGATGGCAACCCCGAAGAAAAGTGCCGCTCGATACCCTATTATTTGGCTGCCCGAGCGGCGGGCAATTTGCACCTCGATAGTGGATGCAAACCCCAGTCCCAGACTGTTCCCGTAGAGATTCAAGGTGCCAATGACTGACCCGGCAATTCCCTGCTGATTTCGACGGACGGAGTTACTAGCAATGATCTGGCCAGCCGTGTACACAAAGTCCGGACAAAATGAGAACAGGATCACGGACGGGAAGATCTGCGGCCAGTAGGATTGGTGGATGGGCACGGTCGCCATGAGCACATTGGAGATCAAAATCGTGACGGTTCCAATCGCCATGATCCATTGTGCGGCCATTCGCGGGATCATCCACGCAGCGAGACAGGCAGCGCCCGTGGCGCAGATCACAAACGGGGTCCAGCCCACGGCAAATTGGAGGGGGGACCAGTGCCAAACCTTTTGGAGCCATAGGACCTGGTACCAGATCAAGGTCCCTACGGCCATGTAATTGAGAAGCACGACAAAGAGCAACATGAGGAAGGATGGGGCTGTGAAGATGTCGAGTGGCATAATGGGCTCTGCGGCGTACTTCTTTTCCCAAAGCAAGAAGCCCCCGAATAAGACGATTGAGCTGATTAAGAGAACAATCTCATAGGGGGTTGACCAACCGACACTTGGTGCTTGACTGTGGGAATGTTAATATGCAATGGACTGGGCTGTTATCAACAACCTACTTCCAAACAAAGCTAAACAGGATCAACGAACTTGTCCCAAGAGCCGATCCAATACAGTCGATCTTTCCATGCCGATCGACCGGTGGTTCTCGCGGACTCAAAGCCCACAGAGGAGTGAATGTGATAACCCCAAGACAAGCACTGTGTCACCGAGCGATTGTTAGTACTTTCTAACCCCGGTCGATCGAATGCATGACCTACATGAAGATGAAAAACCACTTCCATTCTGTCTGCTGTAAAAAGGCGCCCAAGAACAAGGCCCCGAAATATCCTCCAACCGGGGCCGACGCACCAAAGAGACCTAGACTGAGATTTCGCACGCGACCGGGGGGATTCGTACTGGATATCATAGCCACCGCGTTAGGCATGATGAGCGCACCTCCGAGACCAGCTAAAGCCCGCATGGTCACAAAGGCGAAGAAGTTGTTACAAAAGGCGTTGACTAGAGTACACATGGTGAGCCAGGCACCCCCGGCCAAGACAAGTTCTCGGTGGCCATAGACATCTCCCAATCGACCACTAACCAATACAAAGGTACCTTGGGTTAGACTGTATATATGTTAATGAGAGGTACCTCACAAAGGTCTCGGTGCTCTGTGCCTTACGCATAGCTAGCAGCAATCCACGAGGCATAGGTGTCGTTAACACCCAATGATTCACTCAAGGCGCTTCCTCCGGCAATACCTGCAAAATTGACTGTCATCTACTATTGTCAGTATCGGGGGGGTTCATTTCTGGACAAAGTTGATGGTCCAAACTATACCTGTACAACGTTAGCCAGAATAAGCAATGTAGTAATGACCACTCGACGGGATTTGGTCGTCCGACTAGGCAGCGCCCGTTCAAAGACGGGCTGCCCAACTCTAGGCGCTAGGTTGGCTACGGAGACCTGTGTGTCTGGGACATATTCGGCTGGGGGGCTTAAGTCTAACTCGCGGGGTAGAGTAGACGATGTGACGGGCTTAACGTCATTGCGAATAGCATGTAAGAGCGACATGATGTGATAATAGAGAGGAATGTTTTTATTCCTTATGAAAACTAAATGGAAGATCGTGAGTAGATTTAAATAGACACCATCGGACCGGGGTCAAGCTACTGATGAATGAACGTTAACGCTCTGAGTCATTCCAAAGTTCTCGAGGGGTCACAATCCAACTGGACATGGATATCTGCAACCCTGATTGATCAGCTTCGCCGTTCTAGATGTGCGGAAATGCGGAAATTTCGGATACAACCTCCAATGTACCTGTCCTGTCTATACGGGGTCGGGAAAGAGGAAGATTTGTATTTCTATCTCTATACATGTTCTTATTTCTGATTTACTCTAAGTGTAGTTTAATCGGCCCTAACGAACTGAGATGTGGTAGTCTTTGGCATTACATACCTATATGTCAGTAGACTATTAAGGTCGTCATCCTATAACGCTAGGAAGAAGAGAAGACACGTGAAAAGACATGTAGAAAGACACCCAAAAGGAATAACTGAAAGGTATACGAAAAAGACTACACAGGGTCACTATGATAGGGACTATAACCCAATCAGGATGAAGTTCAGAATGACATAGATCGTCCGCGGTAACTAGGTAGCCCCCTGTACGGGTCGGTCTCGACTCGCCCGTGCATACTTACATGTGTATCTCATTTTGCAACCTCCGGTATGGGGATTGGCCCTCCTGGAGAGTTCTCCAGTCTCGCCGTCAAAACCTCGACGCCTGTCTCTGTGACAAGCATAGTATGTTCTATTGATTTCCAAGTTAGTATCTAGAGCCTGTAACTGTCCTCTGAACGGTCTGTACGCACCGAATTGGGCTGTCCGTTTGCCGTCCACAGTAACGTTTGTCCAGTCATCTGGCCAATATACTTCTTGACTGCTGCCCAAAGCCAGGATAGGTTCAATCGTGAAGGTCATCCCAGGTTTACATGTTCCCACAGCCTTGTTCTTCGCATAGTGAGGGATCCAAGGAGGAGGATGGAATTCTGTGTTGATACCGTGCCCACCCCAAGTCTTGACAACGACAAGGCCCCTAGAGGCTGCATGCTTCTCAATGATCTTACCAAACTCTCGAATTGGCACACCTGGTTTGATCACCTCGATGGCCATGTCCAAAGCCTGCCGTGTCGTTTCAATCAGTCTGATCGAATCCGGATCTGCTTTGGCCTTGTCACCAATGTAGTAGGTCTCGTTTAAGTCTGCATGATATCCGCCGTGGTAAAGAGAAATGTCGAGGTTCAGGATGTCTCCATCAAGAAGAACCCGCTGATCGGGGATTCCGTGGCAAACAACCTCATTTGGAGATGTACACAATGACTTGGGAAAGTTGTTGTAGTTGAGCGGAGAAGGGTATGACTGCCTCGCATATTAGCAACTTGACGTGTTTGGCACAGAAATACAATTAAACCTCGCTTACCTCTCGTTCCACGCAAGCTTTGTGGCAGATTTCATCCAGGTAGTCCGTGGTCACGCCAGGCTTCATCGCCGCAGCAGTTATGTCGAGTACTTCTCGAGCTAGCCGGCACACCTTGCGCATGGCCTCCTGGCCCTTTGCATCCAAGATGTCAATTTTTGTCCTGCTCAAACGCATCTCACGCTTTGGAACACCAGTCTCAGCCCAGTCAGGATGCTTGATTGTTTTGGGAACAGGTCGTCGCGGGGAGAGTGGGTACACGGGTCTGATAGAGCCCGTGTATGGGTATGTTGGAAAAGGGTTGTAAAATCGGCCAGCTATATTGCGATTAGAGAACAAAGTCATGAGTAACTGGTGCATGCCACCTGGATGAGGTGGCTACCATTTTGTGTCTTGTGCATCGCCTTGTGTGTCGTCTGGATACGATCGATGTTAGATTCTCACTTAGAGATGCCTATGTGGAGATAACCTACCCAATTCCTCTTGAAGCAGTCTTGAGAGCAGAAGTAACTGCCTTTGATGTCCTGCTTTAGACAGGTCGGGCATTGCAAGGTGCCTGCTTCCTTGTCGCAATCGCTGCCACAGCACTGTTTCTTGGTATCGGACATTGTCGCAGTTGAGATTTAGCTCTGATGAGCTGCAGGAAGATACGGGAGGACTACTTGGTAAATCAAATTCATGCGTGAGATGTAAGGTTGAGTGAAACAAAGCCCCCCATGTGACCAATTACCTGCATTTGGTCTCCACGGGACCAATGGCCCACTTTCCTATTATGTACTAGACTCGATGTAAACAAGTGATTCTGTATTCCACCTCTTTACTGTACAAATCGTTCACCTGTTGGACCTTCAGACTCTGATATTGATCGTTGATTGAAAGCCCACTAGTGCAGAGCGATAGCAGTCGTGCATGTGCAGATTCTATTGGTGATCTGGGGCGATTTGATACGCAGATTGGCAGTGCTCCGAGACGTCGGTCAAAGAAGGGCATTGCAGAGAATTAGAAGGTTGAAACAAAGCAAAGGAAAGTTTGAAACAGGGGATCAGTCGAATATACTCATAGAAGTACTCTTTTGAGATGTCTTTTGATCTAGTGTTATAGCCATGTGGAACTATAGCCAAGGCTCTATGGTATGTCGTTTCTTATCAAAAGACCTTGAAACCAGTCCTATCTTTCTAAAATCTGATTCTCAACTTTACATTCCTTCAGAATGATCATTTAAAACCCAAGTGCTTGGCAACATTCTTTGCACTTCAGAAAAACTACTAGTGCTGACGGGACTTTCTTGTCTAGTTCTGGGATTCTTGGGCAAACAGTCATATTAATACAGCATAAGATGCCTTTTCAATCTTATGATCTAATTTCGTATTACAGCGCCTTCTTTCCTGCGTCCGCTTGTTGCTGGGCAACAATGTATCCAACGGCACGGGCGATGCCCTCATCCAAGGGCACAACAGGCAAGTAAGCGAGGCGGTGCTTAGCCTTCTCAGTCGAGTAGTAGCGGGTCATGCATGAGTATCGCACTGTCCGGGCAGTGAGACGTGGGGTCTTGCCAAACAATCCCATGACAGTCTCGGCGATACCACCAACACTCTCAAGGAGACCCTCGGGTAGAGCCCAGACCTGCTCCGGCTCAACGACGCGGTTGATCAGAGCCCACATGGCACGGGTAACATCCCAGAAATAGACGGGGGAATCGTTGGTAATGTTGAAAGCCTCGCCGTCCACGCGCTCGTAGTCGAGGGGCCCGCCCTTACCAGCCGCGTGAAGGTCGTAGCTTGCGAGCAGCCGGTGCGCAGCAAGCAGGTGGCCGTAAGCCACATTGCCGACGTAGGTGAAATCGAACAGGTTGTCGTTATCACCGAGCTGCATCCGTAGAACTCTGTCCGAAGCCTGGGATCCGTGCTCCAGGATCTTGTGTGTGACGGTTGTATCCTTCTCTCCGTGGATTCCGGCCGGGCGGATAGCGGCGGTCAGCATCTCGTTGGGGGACTTCTTGTTGTACTTCAGCACGAGTTCCTCGGCATCGGCCTAGATAGACGCAAGGGATCTGATTAGTGATTGATCCCGATTGTACTTCATTTAAAATAATAATAAGAACTCACCTTGGTCTCGGAGTAGTACTCCTTCTGCGCAGGACCCCGGATGTATGGCCATTCCTCATTGACGTTCTTCAGATCACTCTGTGTGTCGTGGACCACGGAGCTGGAGCTAGTGTAGACGAATGCCTTGCACTTACCACCCCAATCGCCGTGCTCGCCACCAGCGACCTCAAGAAGCGTCCGTGTTCCCTCCACATTAACTTTGTGCAGCAGGGGCTTATTGCCCTCGATCATAGATGGCGATGCAGTGTGGATGACAAGATCGGGCTTGACAGCGCGGAAGACCTCCAACATGGAGTCAACGGAGGTGATATCGCCATCATAGTACTTGGCGCCGGGAAGACGGTTGTTGGTGGTGCGCAAGTCAACGACAGAGACAGTGGAGTGGTAATCTGGGTAGCGCGATCCCAGACTTGGGTACTCGAAACGCGCATCGCCGACGGGCTTCGGCAGAGTGTAACTGGGGTCGGTCTCGGAGGGGAAATTCAGCAGGTGATCGACAATGTGCCACCCCAAGAAGCCGCAGCCTCCAACCACCAGGACATTTCCTAACTCCAACGTGCGCTTTTTTGCCGACATGATGTGATTTTTTTTGGTCAGAAGATGGGGGATTGGAGTTGAGTGAAAAGGGGCCGGGGAAGTTGGCGGAGATAATCAGGTGATCCGTGCGGGCCACGGGGGCGCTTGACCTTCCAAGGTTGACAATCTTCTACTTTGCTTCAACTTCATAAGATGAAATATTATTTTCGGTCTACATAGGGATAAGAAGCAGAACATTCCCACGGCACAATGGAACTGGTAGCGGCCAGTTTGTCTTCGCCGTCTACCGGTAAAAGACAACATACGCCAAAATAAGACAGACAAAAATCAAGAAAAAAACCCATACATATCCCATCGAATTCTTCAAGGATCTCACTGCTAGACCGTTAGACCTCATCTCTGAGCACGGTTGGACCGACTCGAAAGTATCATCGAACCCTCTATGTCCATGATGTTCCACTTGAATTGCGCCAAGTAAGTCTTTGGCCAGATTTTTCGGCATGACCTATGGAGATTTTGAATGGAAAAGGTACTGAAGACTTCAGTTCTAGTATGGTTATTTCCACTCTCTCTCTGTGCACTTTTGCTAACCTTGGAAAGTGAAGTCCCTTCATGAGATGGTCCTAATACCTGAAAATTCACGCGCTGCACAACTACATGAACTTAGCGCAGACAATATGATTAAGTTCAAAGATGTAGGTTCATTCATCTCATTCATCCCAGCTAATGGAGCTGCATCGCATGTCTCGTTCGTGTGCTTTTCTATACTTGGTAGGAACTATGATTATAGGAAGTTACAAAGGTCCTTTCTGTGTATCTATGAATACTATTTTGCTAGCAATATCGATCTTCCCGTGTTAAAAGGTCAAAGGATATCACTCAATCAGGGTAATACATAGCGATGGCAGAAAATGATACAGTTCAAGCCAGGTAGAGTTGAGAACGATAGCTGAAGATCACCATAGAGCCTCCTGTATGACACATTGCTCGGCAAATATGCACATTCCAGGACAGTGAGCTGGGTCACCTCAGGACTCCTCCAGAGATGTCCGGAGCTTGCGCCTGTAGAGCCTACGATCTAGTTCCGAACCCCAGCACAAAGCACTCGCCTCTGGGTTGACTGTCATGAGGGGATTGTATGGGGGATTGTCCTCTTCCAGGGTGTTGATGATACCCTCGATGTGTTGACCGATTTCTTCGGCATGTGAAGGAAGGTACATCAACACTCCCAGCTTCGAGACTCGAATGTGATATAGCGGCGACTCGACAAATGCCCGAGGTTGTTCTTCTGGGTGTCGAGGACTGATGTAGATATTGATCTTGATGATGCCACCTTCCAGTTTGGACTCGTTGCGACCAACATAGGTGAGTTTCCAGACGAACGGGTTGTCATCAACCAGTGACAAATCGATAACCTGGGGATAAGCGCTCATTTCTGCCGCAATCTGCTCATGCTGACCCCTCAATTTGACTGCAATGCCAGCTTCCTCCTTAACCAGAACCAGACCCTGGATGGGCCAGCGGTGTGTCTCTTCCATCAATTGGTCTCGAAGAGCCAACAGACGGGTTTGCAAGTCGAGGTAGTTCCATTCCCCGGTCATGGCGTTACCATGGCCTTCAAAGGGCATTTGAATAAATGGTGTTCCTTGTCTCCATGCCTCGCCCGCGATACCTTTCTCAATGGCGTTCTGGTAGAACTCAAGGTACCACAGGAATCGTCGCTTGCAAAAGTCATAGAACTTGCTTTGATTGAGCAATGCGGGTTCGGGTTCAATTTCGAGTTCACTATCTTCCTCTGCGCTCGATTCCTGACCGACCCGTGGTGCCGTTCGGCGGGCCGGGGATGGGGCTTGGAATGCTTGCTCAAGAGGTGCGATGACTGCTAGTCGTAGATTCTCGTGGCGGATCTGGTATGTGAGCATTATCTTTATCCTGGTGAGATAGCGGATAGCGATCCTACCTTGGATTTGTAGATCTCCATATTATTCGTGTCATTTGCCCTGTCGTTTTCCTCAAACCCTGGCTCCAGGGTATACGGGTTTGATGCTAACAGGCTTTGAATTGACAGCATAATAGATTCGAGTCCCTGTGCAGGTGACCATTGTTCGCCTCGGGAACCATGCCAGGTTCTATAGTGATGTTCAGTCTTCATTAAAGTCATCCATATCGTTGGCTTTGGAGCTTACCCCAGGATTGACCTGATGAATGTTATTAAGGGGTTTTGCACAAACTTAATAGTTCACAGGGTGCACTTACAAGCAAACCTTCCCATTGGCATACAGATTAGGACCAAAGCGAGTGCGGCCCTTGTTGGTGGTCCGGATTTTCACTGCCGGGGGATTTGCTGGGTAATCTATTCTGTGATTTAGCAAGTGCCTGTCACAAAAGAGAAGACCATCTTACCTGATGGAATTTTGATGGAGAACTAGACACATCAATATATCGTCCGTAGTTCAAGTGTGCTCGGGCCCTTGGCTGGGTGGGTCTTACCTCATAAAACCCCAGTTCGTATGGGGTGCCTGGAGGCCCGATGATGAGGGCCTGGATATCACGAATGTTGCTTTCTTCAAAACGAACAGTGAACGCTGTACCGAGGTCAGCATGTGAGTCTCCGTGCAGAATAAAATGACTTGAAACGTCCAAGGGACCGAATTTGGAGATCTCATACCAAGTTGCTCACTCCGCTCAACCTGTCTCAACTCCTGTTTCATACGACAATGCGGAGATTAGTGATTGGTCCGGGTAATTTGCCCAAATGGATTGGAAAGGCACGTACTCGGACGAGGCGCAGAGTGCACTGGTCACCCATCTCGTGGGTGTAAGCTAATCATCCACGGGTGTGTTGCAGAGGAAAAGTAGGGAAGAGTAGGGAACAGCTTTAGAAAGTATTGAAATGTATCAAAGGCAAGGGTGTTCCTCAAAGAATGATGAAGGTGGTAAAGAAGAGAAATGAGGGTGAAATGAACCGGGCAACTTTCGACGGCTTGTCTCTTCAACCACCTTTTTTTGTTCTGTCTGTTTTTCTTTTCATATCTTTTCTATTCCTTTTTTTTATGAACAGGCATAGATCCAAGATATATTTTCTGGTCTTTTTCTATCTTGATCTATTCGGTCTCCTCTCGTCATCTTCCAGCCTCCCACTTTCGGGTAATCACATCAACACTTATAGTTGCATGTAATGATCAGCCTGATGAAATCGTTATTCCATGGATCTCTCTAGAAATTTCGAATACAAAATTACATGGAATATATACAGAGTACTACTAGTATCTATTGACCTGTAGCAAATATTCCTCTTGTGTCAGCTTTACATTGGGGAGAAGATACATATCCACTAACAAGACAACGAAGACTACCAATACACTACCAAAATACTACAACATGTGAAAATACTAGAATGATCCATGAATTATATAGACCTATGCTATTTAAGATATCTGTTACAAACGAAAAGTACATGTATTCCAAATTATTGTATGAGTAATACGAAATAAACTAATCTGCAGAATGTTCTATAAAAAGCACAATGGCACATACGGTAGACATAATAAGCTGTGCCTATATGGCAGTACACCGTGCAATTTAGATGTCTGCAGATCCCCTAGTCAAATCGAATTTGATTGAATCTCAAATATACTCTAAATCTCTCAAAATATCCAAAATATCTTAGTATAGCCTCTCCAAGATAAATATAAACATGGAAATTGTATAGACCACGTGACCCAGGGTCCCGAACTAATTAGGGGGGGGGGGAACAAATGCCCAAGCCATCATCTCCATTCCTCCCCAGCCCACTTCCTTTCCCCTCGCACTTGCACCTTATTTTTTTCGATCTGTTCTTGAAGTAGCATTTGCCCGGTTCGGTTTGGGATGATTGTCGCCCGATAATCCCCTGTTGGTCTCACCTTGAAAGCTCTCCCCTCGAAATCGGCCCCCGCGTCCTCTTAGCCTGCGCGATTTTAGACCCTTCGTTCACAACCTTCCTCTATACCGCCTTACCAGTTTGATCCTAGTGATTTTGCGCGCGCATTATTCCCGTCACTACTACATCGGCTACCCCCGCGTGTCTTTGCATGGCGTAAGGGTAAGTATACTCTGGGGAACAACAGTGACCCCGGTTCAACTAGCCAAAGCATGAGATTCTAATTCAAGAATCAGACTCTTGACCGTACGCGCCCAGCCTACCCTCAATTTCCCGCCAGTCTCGTAATTGTGTCGCATCTTTGATTCGACCCTCTGTCTATTTTGTTTACCACGTCACCTCACCCGTTTCCTACTCTCGATTCTTCGCATGCAGCGTTCGGCGTGACTCAACCCAACAAACCCCACCATATCTCTGCTGACGGGGGACCAAGATGCCCCCCGGTGGACTCCCAGCCAGCCTGGTTGCAGGCAACCCCAGCGGCCGTCCCACCGTCGACACCTCTGGCTATGGGGTTAGCTATTCGAAAAACACGCCCACATCTCCCGAAGACAGTTTAATTCCATTTGATTCACCATCAACGCGAACAGCAGGCGCAAGCCCAATTACTCCGGTGAACCAGGAGGATGGGCGCTCAAGTCGTGGCCTAGGTCCTGACCAGGCTGGCTTCCGCGACCGTTCAACACCCCGAGATCGCTCACGAGTGAACGGGCGTCAAAATAAGTCCCCCGGTGCCTCGCCGCGACTGTGCCAAAAGTGCGGTGAATCACTCACTGGCCAGTTTGTTCGAGCGTTGGGCGGTACCTTTCATCTGGAGTGTTTCAAGTGCGAAGTAAGTTGCTTCTAGTTGGGGCTTTTGGGATCTTCTCTAACTTTCATACTACTTTCAGGACTGTGGCGAGATCGTTGCTTCCAAGTTTTTCCCCGTCGATTCAGAAGATTCAAGCGTCCAATTCCCACTTTGTGAAACCGATTACTTTAGACGACTCAGCCTCTTATGTCATGAGTGCGGCGGTGCACTACGTGGATCATACATTACAGCGTTAGACCGAAAGTATCACATCGAGCACTTTACCTGTTCCGTTTGTCCGACTGTCTTCGGTGCTCAGGACTCTTACTATGAACACGAGAGCAAGGTCTACTGCCACTTTCACTACTCAACTCAGTTTGCCCAGCGGTGCCATGGATGCCACACTGCAATCCTAAAACAATTTGTCGAGATCTTCCGCAACGGCCAAAATCAACACTGGCACCCCGAATGTTATATGATCCACAAATTCTGGAATGTCCGGTTATCCCCTGCTGGTCAAACATGGGAGCCTCCACCGGTGGATGAGGATGCCAGCGAAGATGAGCGCAAGCGTATTCGCGATGAAGAAGATATTATGGAAGAGAAGGTCTTTAATATTTGGAACACTCTTTCGACCTTTGAAGAATCGTCCGCCGCTTGCATCTCAGATATGCTGCTTCATGTGAGCAACGGCGCTTACATCGATGGTGTTCTCGTAGCCAAGCGCTTTATTGAACATGTGGAAATCCTCTTCGGTGCAGTCGATCAGCTTGCTGATTATATCAAATCCCATGAATTAAAAGGTGAGTCTCGCGCAGCTGATTTCACATCGTCGGGACCAATCGCTGATTCTTCCAAACCAGAACTTTCCTACGGCCGCGAAGCCAAACTTCTCTGCAAAAAGATTGTCGCTTTCTTTGCCCTTCTATCGAAAACCCAGGAAACCGGGGTACGCAAACTTGGCGTCACCCAGGAACTTCTGTCTCTGGTTACTGGTCTCGCTCATTACCTCAAACTACTTATCCGTATCGGTCTACAAGGTGCACTCAAACTTGAACGGGAGAAGTCTGCGCCAGACGGGTTACATAACTTCCTGGAGCACCTCCGTGATCTAGAGGCATTAGCCGAGCACGAAGATGACAATACACCAGTCGACCTGATGGCTGGAGTAGAAGGCCTGGCTGATCAACTTTCAGATTGTTGTATCGCCTGCAAAGAACCAATTGACGACGAATGTGTTCAGTGGGGCCAGAGTCGCTGGCACATCAAACCGCCTCATCTCTCATGCAAATCATGTGAGAAGGACCTGACTACTGATCTGCAAGACGCATTGTGGAGTGGTAGCGAGGAGCAAGTCTACTGCGGCGCTTGCGCCCATCAGATGAACCTTGGCCCCACTGTGAAGGGCGGTTTCACTTCAGTTTCAAAATTGCAGCAATTCGTTTTCTTACTGAAAGTGGCACTCGCACGGCTTCTCGCCGTTCTTCGATCCGGTGGAACCTTGCCTGATACATCCGGTAAGACACTTTTACACTACCCCCATGCCGCCGGCAGTTTGTCTAACTTGCTACGCCCCAGACGACCCCAACCTCAATGATTACGAACGCAAAGACGGCCAGGGAGTCACATCCCAGGTTCGCCGGGCAAACACACGCCAGTCATATGGCGGTGGCTCGCGAGATGGCTTGGAAGAAACATCCCTTGAGCAGACCGTCGGCGAGATGCGTCGGCTGCGCTCTATTCGCAACGAGCGAACCCTATCCACAACATACAAACGTGCTCGCGCATCCAGAATAATCGATGGACCAGAAGGCAGAAGTGCGCGACCAGGGTCATCTGGCAATGATGGCAGTGACCCGAGGGGTCACGGTTTCCAGATCGTCGAAGAACGGGATGCCAATGGCGAAACCGTTACCGATCTGACTTTCGGGGCCCAGGATGCTTTGACGCTAGATGATATCCCCCGCATTGTTGCGGCTGAACAAGCCAAAGAGCAGCGACCTAATGCCTACAGGCATGCCGGCACGAAACTCATTGGGGGGACAGAGCCGATGCCCAGGTACAACCATGGCCACCAGCGGGGAGTGTCGAGTGGAAATCTGGAGGCCCTCATAGAGCCGACCCGAACCAAGCGGTACTTCTCGGAACTAACTGCTTTGGAATATTTCATCGTTCGCCACGTTGCTGTGCTACAGATGGAACCCTTGGTAGAGGGCTATATCACCATGGAAGAGCTTCTTTCTCTTATTGAGTCGCGCAAACCTACCATATGGAACATCTTTGGCCGTGCCTTCAAGGACAACAAGAAGGCCAATAAAAAGAAGGGTGTCTTCGGTGTTGGCCTAGACTATTTGGTCGAGAAGGAAGGCACAGAGTCAAGTCACGGTGTTGGCCCGGGTGCGCTCCGCATCCCAACCTTGGTCGATGATTCTGTTTGCGCCATGCGGCAGATGGACATGTCTGTCGAGGGTGTCTTCCGAAAGAACGGCAACATCCGCCGATTGAAGGATACCGCGGAGCAAATAGACACCAAATATGAGTCAGTTGATCTGACAAAGGAAACCCCTGTGCAGATTGCAGCTCTCTTGAAGAAGTTCCTCCGCGAGATGCCCGATCCGCTATTGACTTTCAAGTTACACAGGCTGTTTGTCATCTCACAAAGTAAGTTCCAATGCTGTGGTTATCAGTCTAATCGTGCATGCTAACCTGTGTCGCAGAAATGGAGAATGCGGAGAAACAGAGGCGACTACTTCACTTAACATGCTGTCTGCTTCCCAAAGCCCATCGTGATACGATGGAAGTCCTGTTTGCCTTCTTAAACTGGACATCATCCTTCTCGCATGTGGACGAAGAGTCTGGAAGCAAGATGGACATTCATAATCTTGCAACAGTCATCACGCCCAATATCCTCTACCCCAACGCCAAAAACAGTACTGTGGACGAGAGCTTCTTGTCCATCGAGGCTGTCAATGCCCTGATCGCGTATAACGATGTATTCTGCGAGGTAAGTTACCCAGGTTAAGGTCGTGCTAGGCTTATGCTAACTCTATCAACAGATTCCAGAAGACCTACAATCGGTCTTGGGTGATCCAACTCTTTTCAGGGAGAATGCCGAAGTGACCACCAAGGAAATCCTCAAACGATATGGCGATATTGCTCGAGGCAGCTTTTCACAAAAAGCGGACAACGGCGGCGAGACATTCACGATCACCACCCCCAACCGAAGCAATAGCAGCCCAGCTTCCGCGCGTATCGAGACCGATCCATCTCAAGATGCAGCCTGGCAGATGCAGAGTTCCGTTCGCCATGTGCCTGGGCCCACCGGACACTCTCATTCAGTAAGCGCCAACGCCCAGGCTGGACTTGATTTCGCTCCTCCGCCTGCAGCATATCGCCGTGACCGTAGCACCAGCAACGGCAGAGAGCCAATTGCAGGGGCACCTGATGATCAATCATCAAGCGTGGCATATCGGCCACGTCCGAGTGCAGGTGCTATGGGTGTTACTGGGTAGACTGGATCTCCTTATACTCCTCCTGCACAGCTACAACACTGGTATACCATCCAACCTCATCCTCCATCTATCCGTCTGATTCAGTCTCCGTGTAGTGTTTTCTTTCTCGTTTCTTGGGACCTTCTTAGCGTTCTTTTTCTTTTCTTTTTGTCGAGTGATAGGGCTGGTTGACGGAGTTCTTTTCCCTTTATTTTTCCTTCGATGAAAATTCCCCAAAAGTGATCAACTAGCTGCTTGGTCACCATTGATTTTTGTTTTCTTTCTATCTCTATAGTGGCTGGGATGCCATCCCTTTTTTTTCTTCCTCTTTGTTCATCTGCATCTGATTCGAGGGATCAGCCATACCCATATCTGTTCCTCTGGGCCCCATAAATGTCCTGTTTTTCCTTTCTCCCTCGCTTTTGATTTCTGAGCATGCTCATTCTTTTTTTGTGGGCCAGGCTACGGCTATACCTAGACCCCATTTTTCCTTTCTTCTTTACTGATTCTTCTCCCCTGGGCCTTTTGCTTAACAAGACCCTGGCTTTTATTTCCTTTCTTATTTCAATCAACATGATTGCCACACCTGTGCTGAGTAGTTGCTGGGATATCTATATTGTAGGATCATGGTTGCGACACGGTTACCCCGAACAAGCCTATCATTTGGCTATTAGGGATGTAATTTCCACAGTACTTTTACTACTCTCAACTAGATGGCGCTAGAAAGACAGCTAGAAATGGCCATAAGTGACGTCGTTGTGGCCCATCTGCCAATATCTCTGCCACTCACCGTGACCTCCATTATGACCTCCACGTAGCCGAGCGGCATGGTTTGCACCCCGGCGCCACATTTGAACGTCCTGACGGGCTAGAGAAGGAGATTCTCAGTGCCATTGGCGTTAACCTCGAGCCCCCAATAACCGACCCATATAAACAAGAGGAAATGAAGGGAGAAGGGCATCAAAGATGATCATCCTCACCCAACAACCACTGAACATGACGATATGACATTCGGCCTTGGTCCTGGGGCTGTCGATGACCTGCTTGGAAGGTTTCCGCAAACATCAAACCACGTTCATAGTGTTGAACTCCCATCATCCCCTGTGGGCCATCGAGATCGCCATATCCCTCTTGGGCATCAAAGACGGCACGGTATTGCAAGTCGGGCATATCGATATGAATGGGAGTGGTTGGACGAGTCTGGAAACCTAGCTCGCCATTCCAGGTCATGTTTTGGATTGCCAGCAATGTTCCATTCGTGATGATTAGATAGTCCCAATCTCCGTTCGAGATCAACACTCGATTTGTCGCCTCGATAATCCGAGGCAGGACATGCTCGGTGGGATTCGCAGACTCGTCGTATTGTTGTTCAGGTCCTGGGTTAGGGCTCACAAAGACACTTTCCACACTACAGAGCTCCCAGTCGATGTTCTCAGGAACATGCAGAGCCTTCTTGACATCTGTGCGGTTGAAGTAGGTTGTTGGACCTGGTTGATAGGCCAGGTCTGTGGGGAAGCCCAGAACATCCCATAATAGTGGACATGTTTGGCTGATCTTGTAAGGACTCCAGCATGGGTTTGGAGTAAAAGCTTCGTTGTAGATCATGTTGTATATGTCGCATTCGGAGTAGTCCATATATTTGGGGGGCTGAACCCCAGAGGCCGGATAAGTGAAATACTCTTCAAAATATCCCTCGTAGCCACATTGTTTGTAGGTGTCTTGCAGCTCCATCATGAATGATTGGTTAAAGTTGAACAGCTCGGCGTGTTGTTGAACGAAAGGGTAGGCGGGGAGTGCAGCCTGGATATAATCCCACTGGCCGATGCACGCATCATACATTAGAGCTCCTAGTTTGGGATTAGAATTTTGGAACAAATATAATGCAGCTTTCAATTTCCAAGTCTTTACCGCTGAGGTTGAAGTGTTCGGTATCGTTCTTGTCGAGCATGGCGGCGGATATGTAGGGTACATATCGGCCCGCATAACTTTCACCAGTTAAGAAGATGCGAAAGTTCTTGATACCATATTCTTCTTGAAACTTTTGGAAAAAGTTGACAAAATCGGCAGCGATGTCCTCTTCGTTGGTAGCGGTCGGTGTACCATTTGAGTACCCAACTCCAACCGGTTGATCGACCCTAAACGCAGTGAGTTACTACATACTCAGAGCTGGCTCATGACTTACCATAGCATATTGGTTAACTTAACCCATGAGTACTCATTAATGACTGGTTCGTAGGTACCGGGTTGCCAGGTAAAGCGGCCGTTCTCTTGCAAAAAGCCCTGCATTGAACTACATCCCGGTCCACCATTCAACCAAACCGTGAGGTCGTTGCTTGGTTCTCCGATCTTTGGCTGGAAGATATAAAATAAGGCATCATCTTCACGGATCGGCATAAACCCCGAATACATTTCTCCCAATTCAAAATGAACATCTGGTAAGCTTTCCACCACATGAGCTGTGAAAACATACGGTCAGTTGAGATTGAAGGAATGGAAGTAAAGCATACACTTGGTCTTGTCAGTTAGAAATCGATAATTTGATGTATCGATGGGTTCAGACCCAGATCCCTGAGTTGACAGTGCTTGGCCGCCATTGACGAGAAGTGCGATCGCCAGTGCCGTGATCGATGCGAACATGGCAGTTTCCCGTATGAAGATCATGTGTTATCAATGTAAAATCTCGGGCAGAGCTAAAAAGGGGGTTTACTCTTATGCATGTCAGTTTCCCCTTATAATAATTGACACATTCTTTCTTTTCTTCCTTTTTTTTTGAGTGCAGTGATCTGCAATTATCAGCCCCCTTTTCAGGGGATCAGCCGTGCTAATCGATGCCGCTAAACCCGAAATGCTGCGAGGTTTGGATCACAGTAGAAGATCGGCGAATTTACTGTCTCAAAAGATGGGAGATCTGAACGGATAGGTCGGAAGTTCAGTGTCTCACGTCTTAATTGGAACTTGACACATCAAAGTATTTTCCCATTTCAGCGCATATGAGTCCGCTCTTGAAGCCATATAGAACGAAATGAGCAGTATTCGGGAACGACATAGTAATGCGTAGGGCCAGGTAGTACATAGAGACATTAACCCGCTATTGAAACGAGACGGTTGAATTATAGCGAAGCTATGAAATGTCGTAGGTCTCTTGCACGATTGCCTTTTTCTGTTAAGATATATGTTGTAAACGGAACATCTGATACCAAAAAGAAGGCCGACTCTTGTACTCCGTACATAGTTTATAGGTTTGGTAGTGACGCGGATGCGGCCATACCATAATTGGGAGATTTGAGAGGCCCATGTGTAGTCAACCATCTCTAATTATCGACATTCACCCTATTGGTCACAGAGCCAAACACCTCTAAAGCATGACCGAGATATTCCTGAACCCCTTTAAGTCGAGGGGTCATATCACTCCCTAGAGCGAGAAGCTTCTCTGTTTGATGGCCTTCACCAACTCCTTCACCAACAACCACTTGGTACACAGCCTGCATTGCTTTATCCTTGTCACCGTTGGGCTTGATTTTCCCACTGACCAAAAGACCCTGGACCTGTTCGGTGAAGGTTCCCTTGTAGTCTTCCGGCAGGGGAGTCTTGCCCAGAACCACCGAGTTAGGCATGTTGGTGTTGAAGGTTCCGAGAACGACAGTCAGGGTGCGGATGTTGAATGGGGTAACCTCCTTGGCGAGGATCTTGGTAAGGGCTATTAAAGTCACAATTAGGAAAATTTCCCTGGTGCGATACTCTTGATGCATACCGTCTAACCCAGCCTTTGCACTCGCGTACACACCCATAGTGGGAATACCGTCAAGCGAAGCACCACTGCTCATATTCACAATCACGCCGGACTTTCGCTGACGCATATGGGGCAGAACGGCCCGAATGAGACGTAAGGGACCAAAGTACATGGTCTCCATCTGGGTTCTCACCTCCTCCTCCTCCATAGTCTCGATAGGAGCGTAGATGGAATAGCCAGCGTTGTTGACCAGGACATCAATATGGTCGCCACCGCTTTCGAGCGCGGTGATGACATTGCCGCTGTCGCGACTGTCCACATCAAGCTGGACCCAATTACCCCCCTTGGACTCGATCTCGGCAACTAGCTCCGGAGTCCGTGATGGGTTGCGCGAGGTCGCAATCACTTTGTGTCCGCCAGCCTGGGCAGCACGGGTCAAGGAAAGGCCGAAGCCAGAGGAGCAGCCAGTGATGAGCCAGGTGAGCTTGGTAGTCATGATAAAGGTAATATTAATGATAAACAGAGATGAGCATCGACAGGTCTGCTTTAAGCATCACGGAGCGGAGATACCGCTGTACTAACGCCGCCGACTTGCGCTAACTCCGGATGGTGCATTTAATCTAACTTGGGGCATGAGAGGAGACGACTCGCAAGATTTTGAGAGAACTGCTGATGGATTGAAGTCCATGGAAGCTTTGTACGGGAGGTTGCAGTCAATCGCTCATAGGCGGGTTGATATCATTATGCACAAGGCTAAGAGAATGAAGGTGCTTGATTCCCTCCAGGATCCCATAGAAGTTCGCCTTGAGAGAATCATCGACTTTCTCTCAGAACCACTAGCCCGGAACTGATTCTTATTCAGATATATAGGACTGACCTTTACCGACAAGGTTCCCTTGTATCGTTTGAAGCAAAGACCAGTAGCCTGGCCATTCTTCTTCCTGCAGCCGTAATAAGTAGCAATATTCGGGTGTGGATGTCTGCGAAGGACTTCACACACTTCAAGCTCGCGTTGAGTATTGTCAGAAGTCGGCTATGCCTGGCGCTTTCAGGTAATAATCTTGCTCTGATGCCACAACCCATGTTTTCAACTGGAGTTTGCCGTCAACGGGTTTGAACGTATTGCTCTCCCGGATGATCTCCATTCTGGACGCCGATTGGTGCTCTCGGTGCGAGGTGAAGCCTGTGTTATGATAGCTGGTGGACAGGCGTTGACATGAACTCACTGGAAGAGCGGTATGTTGGACAAAAGTAGTCCAATGGACTGGCAGCAAATAGACAGGTCTCATATTTGCCCAGGGATATTGTTGCCGACTGGTTACACACCGAGGAAGACGAGTATGATCCTTGTACAGTCAAGTATTGGTTTGAAAAGAACTTGATTCAGATAACCGGACAAAAGCCATGAATTTATACCTGAAGGAAAAACACCTATTATGATATTACGCCCAAGAATCAACACGAAAGACAGCACCCAGACTCAAATTGTTCATTGCAGAGTCTGCAATCGCCCACGCTCAAAGAAACAGAATCCCAACCAACTCCAAGAAAAAACAGAGTCTGTGCGTTCATGTAAACAGTCCTAAATCCGCTTACGCAGCGCTCGAGTGCGAGTCGCCGGTTCAGTCACAGCCGGAGCGGTAGTCTTGCGCATTGAAGCAGTGGTGGGTGTATTCTTGACAGCCATCGATGCAGCTTGCATACGAGAAGTCGGCCTCTTCGTGGCAGCCGCAGCAGATGCTGTTGTGGGCTTTCTCGCGGCAGTTCCAGTCCGTGTGGACTTGGTTATTGTTGTGCCCGAAGACGCAGTAGAGCCTGTGCTGTTCTTGCGCTCACCCTGTCGGGTCGCCGGGCGCGGCAAAGGTGACCGAATAGTCTTAGGTCCCGTAGCCGCACGAGTGGTAGTCCTCTGAGCCTGCAAAGGAGGCCGCTGATCCCTCACTGCAGACACAGTGGCACCGCGTGACCGCAACGGACTGGACGGTTTTAGTGGTGAGGTAGGGCGCGCCAGATATGAGGGTTGACCCTTCTCGGGGGATGCACGGAAGGGTGAGTGGGGGTAAGTTCGGGAGTTGTTGGATTTGGGAGACAGAATCCGGTTCTCGTTGCCCCGTACTTCCTGAGACGCCACGCGCGAGGCCCCGCCTGCTCCGGCTGGCTTCACGCGACGCTTGGGGTTCTTGAGTTCGGGCTCACGACCGGCAGGGGCATTCTCTTTGTCGGAGAAGTGGCCATCGTGGCTACACATATTGTCAGTCAGAGACACAAGTTGGGCTTGTGGTATATCGTACCTTCCCCTCCGAGCTCTACCGTCGCGTGTGGCTTCTGGGTCTACGGAGATGCTTGTGATATTACGCGACACCTTGGTGGGCGAGTATTTCCGAGAAGGCGATGCAACCTGCTGTTTGTTTGTGGCGGCGTTATGCTTTTCGAGCAGCTCGCCGATGTTGGCCTTGCGTAGCGAGACTGGGATCCGATTGACGCGTCGCTCAATGCGCGCCCGGAGGTCATTTGCCTGAAGGGCATATTGAGCACGGAGTTTACGTGCTCGCTCAGTGACTGTAGAAAAATCAGCACCATGTTCATTCCGTAAGCCCACAATTCAACCCACTTTCAAGTTGTAGATTGTCCATCAGCGCCTGCTTCTGGTGCTGCGTCAAGCGCATCTTTTTAGTAGGACTACCCGTAGGGGTGACGTCCATGGCGTCGGATTTGCGCTTAGTGGCAGGCATTGTTCAGAATTCAAGGGATATAGACTGAGATGTGTCGAAGTACAAGGGCTAATGTTAAGGTGCGGAGCAAGGAGGACCACAACAAACAGCGTACCCGGGCGGGGAGCTGTGGCAGAATGCAGAGCTTCCACCTCGCCTTCGTCATCCGTCTTCATCACCCATACGCCGTTCTCATATTCACTCGCTGTTCTGCCCTCATTTACATCGTTAATTCCCTCAGACTCCGCCATAATGACGCTGGAAGCTACTATGATCATGTCCGTCATTGACTATCCTCCATATTAGCTTTACTCTGCTGACCCCAAGCTACAGTGTCGACAACAGCGAAAGCAGTCGCAATGGAGACTACACGTGAGTACATCCGATCATAATATACCTGCGTCTATGAATGATATCTAATGGTCACAGGACAACCCGGTGGCAATCTCAAGTCGATGCCGTTAGCATCATCCACAGTGCAAAGATGCGAGTAAACGCCCAGTCAGCTGTCGGCCTCATGAGCATGGGCGGCAAGGGCCCCGAAGTACTATCAACCTTCACACCCGAGTTTGGCGCAATTCTCGCTGGTCTGCACCGAACAAAGATTCACGGCACAGCTCACCTCAGCTCGACCATCCAGGTCGCAGCGGTAAGTTCTTCCAGCCAAGCTTCGAGATCCCAGGCTCTCAATGACTAATCTTGATGGCATTTTAGCTGGCACTCAAGCACCGTATGGAAAAATCCCAGCGCCAACGCATTATCGTATTCTCCTGCTCGCCCATTGAAGAAGATGAGAAGACCCTCGTGAAGCTCGCAAAGAAGATGAAGAAGAACAACGTGTCGATCGATGTGGTAGCTTTCGGAGATTTGGAATCCGACCAGACCAAGAAGCTCGAGGCTTTTGTTGAGAATGTCAAGAGCGGCGATGGATCCCACCTCGCCATCATCCCACCGGGACCCCATCTTCTCAGCGATCAGCTGCAGCTGACCCCGATCCTGGCTGGCGAGGATGCCGAGGTCGGTGGAGGCAGCGGCGAGGGCGAGGCCGGCGGATTTGGATTCGATGATGCCGCGGAGAACGATCCCGAGCTGGCATTTGCCCTCCGGTTATCGATGGAGGACGAGAAGAACCGACAGGAGAAGGAGAAGCGGGATCGGGAAGAACAGGAGGGCAAGACGCAACTGGGCAATATCCCCGAGGAGGGCCACGGCGAGTCCAGCGGTGACAAAGATAAGAAGGACGAGGACAAGATGGACACCGCGTAAGGTCCGACCGGAGATTTGAATATGACTGATGCATACCCGGCGTTTCCCTCTGCTTTTGTCTTGTATTCTCTCGAGTCGACCTTCCTTTCGGGTACGTTCTACAGTGTGCAAGGGCAATATATTATGTGATTTGGTATTATACGAGACGGAGTGATATCCGGACACAAGTACAGGAACAAAACGTATCTAGTTCGTAAAGTCGTGATGTCTATCCCCTTTCTGCGTGCTTCCGGCACCCATCGGGGGGCTACGTCCTCCCCCTCAACCACGCCCCCAGATGCCGATCGAACGCCTCGCATCGCACCGGCATCTCAATCTGATAGAATGGATTCTTCATCACAAAGTCCGCATAGAGCTCGTAGATCTTCTGGATGATTGCGTCCACGCTGCCGGTCAAGGGATCCGTGAACAACAAGAACTTTGTCCCGGTCAAGGTCTGGAAACAAGTCAATCGAAACTTGTCGGTCTCGAGGTAATCCAGGCCGGAGACTGGTACACCGGGGTTTGGGTAGGAGTAACCGGACGCCGCAGGAGCAGCTGTGCCCGTTGAAGAGGTTGCGGGGGACTGAGCAGGTTGGGAGATGGGGATTTTCGGTGTGATGGAGCGTGTGATTGCGTGGACACTATAGAAACCAAGGTAAATGGGTATTCCAGGGGAGAGATGGATGTTGGCAGCTTACCCGTGAAAGGTGCCAGCTAGGACGAGGTAGTCATTTGTCGAGAGCTTGCGCAGGCCAGCCTGAAACTCGCGCTGATAGATAAGACCGCCAGCTTTGTTGATGATGATCAGGGAGAAGACACCCCTATTATTGTCAGGCATGTTAGTTGCTGTGCGATTCAATGAGCAGATGGAGCGTACATGGTGACTGTGGCGCTAGTGCGGACAGCGTGACCGGAGAAGCAAGGGGCGGAGAGCGCGATTAGTATGCCTCGAGGTACTCCGGTGAATTGTGTGGATCTGTATAATTGAAGTTGCTTAGATCACCAAAAATCGGTGTTGGCATGGAGTTCGCGGGGATTAGACAAGGAGGTTGTTTATTCCGCGCGCCAGTCGATAAGCGGGGAGACGGTCATCGGCCCGGAACCTCAACGGTTTCTGTTTTATAGATGCAAGATTTGAGGTATTCACTATTAGTACATATGAAATAGGGGTTTTATATGAATAAATGGCTGGGTTGGACCACATGGGTGATGTTAGGACATATTTTAACGTTCTAGTGGAAATATATATTAGCTAGATGGACATGAACTTCACTATTTCTGGAACAAGATATACTAAAAATCTGCCAAGAGAACAGAGAACAGAGAGAAGTTCCTAGAATATAAGGTAATTCCCCATAGCCAATTGGAGCATCTATACGGGGGTTAAATTGATACAAATCTAATATGAAGCCGATCGGATGAGTACAATTGCTAGTATATATCTTCATAACATCTCATACATATTCAATCATCGAATCATATCCTCAATTGATCTGCTGGTCTACAGTTCACTCGAGTGCCACAACGGCGCTTACTTCGACAATGCTCTAAACTGTTCATTAGTCCCAAGTCCGCTACAATATCGAAAAGAATAAGACCTACCGGGCTAGCTCTCTTACCAGTAGTCTTAAAAGACCTGGTCTCGTACTTCACCGATCCAGATACTCCACTGCCTCCCGCCTGAACATACTTCAGATAGTCTGGCGCCCCAGGGTAATCCGTATTATCAGCGATCGCCAATGAACCAACACGCCAGAGCTTCAGCTCCTCAACCAGCTTCAAATCAGACAAGTAGAATTGCTCCCAATGATCGAAGAACGCCATATCAACAGTGGTGACCTTGCCCTCAGCATGCAAAGCCCGAAGAGAGTCCGAGCCCGGACCTTCCAGGACATGTACAAAGTCCTCGACACCGGCCAACTTCACAAACTCTCTGGTCAGAGCAACCATCTGCGGGTTGGGATCGAAAGTATAGATGTTGACATCATCGGGTACCTTGTCGCCGTGAATATCGCGCAGGATAGCACCCCACGCGAGCGCAGATTTACCCACAAACGCGCCGAATTCGATAATCGTGCGTGGTGCCGGTTGTTGGGCGAGGAGTTGCTCGCGTGCGACCTCGACCTTGGGTTGTCGGAAGATCATCATGTGTCCGACTTCATTGGCGAAATCCTCGATGGCATTTGCCAAAGCCCAGGGGTTATTGGTGAAGTTGGAAGCGGGTTGGGCGAAGATAAATTCACGCAGTTCGACTGCTCGCTGGGCGAAGATCTCGGAGAGAGGCTTGGTTGTCATAGTTAAAGTGTGACTGCAAGAAATTGTATGAAGATGAATATATTCTAGAGCGGGTAGGGAATAGATATATAGATATATGCGCAGTACATCAGACCACGGGCAGCAGCCAGGATCCGATAGAATATAAGCTCATAGTAGAGCTGGCTTGAAATCCACCAATTTCTTATAGCAAGTCTCGGGGTTCATGCCTGGATTGGGTTATTTCGGCCGATGCACGCTTACGGGGTTGTACTCGCCGTTCACTGCTATATTAGTCGCAAGGAACTACACACCTGTAACATTGAGAAGTCATGTAAAGATAATGCATTCCTATGTAGCCCCAGAGGTTTGGCCATCTGCAACGGTCATATGACGCACGATAGGCCCCAGACGTAGCTCGAGAGTGTTATCCCCAAACAGATGTTGGCCATAGATACATAGGAAGGAAACGTATGGTAATAAGAAAATTTATGGGAGCGCATTCCTTCATAATTCAGAGCTGCATAGCCTCATTATCATGCGTACGCGTTGCGCGTCACGCCGGTGTTTTCCCTTTCCCCCTCCTTTTTTGGGGGAAGGTCTAACGTACAGTATAGACTGGGAAACTGCCGTTTCACTCGTCGAAGTTCTTTCAAGATTTCTGGAGTTGCACTACTGGTATTCAGGGAAGGAAATCAACCTTCCCTCCCCTTTACATGAAGCCTGTATACTTGCGGACAGTTTATGCATGCTTTGGCCACTACACAGAAACAACTAACCTGTTTCAGAGAAGATGCAGCATCAAATAATTCTCTCGATATGCCTTGTGTCATTGCTCGTATCAGGGAACTCCTGGGATGGACAGCCTCAGGACATCCAGAGGTTAGAAAGATCAACCCGAAGGTACTGGACAGCAAACTGCGCTCATCGTCAAGCTTTGGGTGAAGTTAAGCAAGCACAGCCCAGAGACTAGTGACTACCAGACTGCCCAAATGGAACTGTACCAGATATCGTGGCACCATTTTGATGTATAGAAATACAAGAGAAAGAGAAATTGGCTAGGTGATAATGGCAATACGGGTTATGTCCGTACTTAGCCGCCCACAAGACAGGAAGTACATAGTAATGATTGATGTAAGAGATGCGTTAATTAATGTTATTTGCTTTTTAGTATATGATAGAAATCGGTCTGTATGAAATGTATGGTATGAACTCAGTATATCAAACTCTCTGACTAGCAATAAAACAGGATGAACGCGCGAGTATCAATAGACAAAATCACTTGCACTTTGGTCGGTTGTATGGAACCGACGTTTGTGGAGATCCAAGGTAAATTTACCTTGTAACCGACCGGGGTATATGGCTCCGGTATTGGACAGTATAGTACACCGATTCAGATTGCTTCGGGGTTAGCACCACTTGGCCTTGGCTGTGCATGTCAATATTTCTCATCAGCCCAACCTCATTTATCTCATCTGACAGAAACATTGGAGACCTGAAAATTATGTCTTTATTACAATTACCAAATGAGCTTCAATTTATTATTGCTAGATGTCTGCTGGGGCAGAAGGAAATCGGCTGCTTGATGCGAACCAACAAAAGACTCTATCACCTCTTACGCCCCTTTTTACTGCATTTCAATGTCGAGTACGATCAAAGTTCAGCCTTGATATGGGCCGCAAAGAACGGAGCTACCTCATTAATCAAAGAATTACTCGATATTGGCTCCAGTATCGCATCATTTGAGCCGGAACTTACCGACCCATCCTATGATGCTCTGAGTGTCAATAATAATCCGCTCTTACACGCAGCCCAAAATGGTCACATTGATACTCTCCAATCCATGCTGTCAGAAACCCGGACAGATAAAGCATGTGTACCATCCCAGTTACGTACGGTCTTGCATTGGGCCATTCGCTCAAGCAACTCAGAGATGGTGGAGTTGATGATCACACAGAATGCCCCCTTTGACCCTTCTGGGAGGCCCATGGACGAATCAAACGCTCTTAGCATTGCTATCACATCGAGTAGCACCTCTATCATTAAACGGCTTCTCCAGGCTGGAGCCCAGACGACCGATGAAGCATCCCCCAATCTCTTTGATGAGGTTTCAACCAGGGAACGGAGAGATGTGCTGGGGCTGCTACTTGAATATGACCAGATGTCTGACTATGATCAATTCATATGCTGGTTAACGTACAATGCCTGGATGGCCGAGCCATAAATGCTGCATCAGGACAGATCTAGTAGCGAGATAGTATATCTCTGTCTCCTCCCCTCCCCTCTTCGTCCATTCTCATCAATAGGAATCTATTTCCGTTTCTCCATACCAAGCATTTCCCGCAGATACGATCTCTCTAGACATAGCAATGCGAAATGACTGGTCTTCCCTCCAGATTTTATTTCATTACGCTTGTGAGATCGGGATATACGGTCATTCTGAATTATTTGCAGCGATAACGTATGGTCGTTGTGAAATCATCGAAGCGCTGAGTGAAAAGGGCCCGAATCCAAATCTAAAGTGCGAACGTTTGCGGCACGATGAAGAGGATAGTTTGTATAGTACGACATGGTATGCCATCCGGCACCGGGATCTCGAGATCCTGAACTCCTCGTCGCAAAGGGGTTTCTCCCAGACAACCAAGGCCTCCAGTTTGCACCGAGGGTCATGTATGATGAAACAATTGCGCTTTTGTCCGGACTTACGAAAGCATACCTGAGATGATGAATATACCGTCTTTTGTTACCATGGTGGAGCATGTGAGTACAGACTCTGATTTGCAACCCATGACATGGGAAAGCTTTCCGGTCATTACATACTGGTCTCCTGTATCTGACCATCGAGAGCCGACTCTTGGTGATGTTTGTTATTAAATCTGAACTGCATTGGATTGATATAAGCTACATGGATGAGACATCCGCAAGATAAGACTTTGTGCCAAGCAGAAAGCAAAAGAATATTTCTGATAAATCCCGAGTAGAAACCACAGAATCTCTCGGGACCAAACTGACTGAAATAACCCACCCCATAACCCGAAAAGGAAAAAAAGAAGAAGACGACCTTTTTAGGTCTGTGTAACGTTGCGCGACCGACGCCTGGGGACGCGGCAGAGCCAGTACAAGAAGAGCGCGGCGACGATATTGAACCCTATATAGACGAACAGCAAACCGATATTGCGCGGAACATCCGAGTAATGCATATTGAGGTTTTCAAGGAACTGGTCCGTTCTAGACATTGTGCAGACCTTGCAGTCCACTGATGCCTCGGAATTCAGCAATGTGCCATGAATAGCCTCAATGTAAGGGCTTAGATAACTGCCGCAATTCTGTCTATCCGGAGGCGAGACGGTGAGCACCTCAATACTTGAACATTGCACAGTGGCCCCAGTCAGGCCAGTAGAGAGGACGGCCGACACAAAGTAGGTGAATGGGGACACGCGATTCATGAAGATCCAGAATCGAGGCATAGAAGACGAATTTGAGAGTACGCTATAAGTCCAGTCAGCACCAGTACCAATTAACTACCAGACACACGCAGATAACTTACCCATTGAATACCAAGCACATGGAGAACATGAACTGAGCAATGTTGCTGGCAGTATCAGGATGTTCAATTCCAGCAATCATCATGGAGCTGAAGGTCGACGTGAAGACCATGAACAGCAGAATGAGGACGTACATGATGGCGCTTCGTTCGATGACAGAGTTTGTAGGCTCTGCATTCCGATAGAACCCGATTGGGTAGTACCAGCTGAAAAAGACCGGTATCGACATCACAATATTCCATGCTAGCTCCACGAGAATACTGGCTATCATGAATGCGATCCACGAGTAGGTCTTTGAAGGCCGTTCGCGTGCCTCATACAAAGCGCGGTGCGTGTCGAAGGTCGGCATCATCTGCTGGACCAGACCTGGGAAGATGACAAGGATCATGAATATTGCAAACATCTGATTCTGCAGCCCTTGGAGACTGGTAGGCATGTGGTAGAAGGTGAATCCGAGGAACAGCGGCTATGCCTGTTAGTCCAATCACATTAGAGGGAGCAAAATAACTTACGGGAACAGTGCAGGTGAGGGTCTTGGCGTATAGATACGATGGAGATCTCCAGTACTGCTCGAACGTGCGTTGAGTACAGATGAGGATCTGATACCAGATTGGCATCGCGAATTCACCAAAACCTGCAGGCTGAACGGGTACAGGCTTCTTAAACAATTCTGTCTTCATTTGAGCCAGCTGCTTGCGAACCTCTACGCGCTCAGCGCTGTTGGTCCATTGTTCAGCCCAATCTCTATCGGCATGAGAGCCTGGTGCAGCACCAATGACCTCAAGCATCCACTCGGCAGGGTTTGCGTTCTGTGGGCACTTAATTGACCCTTTGTCTTCGAAGTATTTGATCAATGTTTCCATGTTCGGGCCAAGATCACCCAGGTACACTGTGCGTCCTCCTTTGGTGAGAAACAATAGGCGGTCGAACTGTTGCATCAGCATTGCCGAAGGTTGGTGAATGGTACACAGTACAGCCTGACCGTGGTCGGCCAAGTTGCGCATCAGAGTACAGATTGACCAAGCAGTTTGACTATCCAGACCCGAAGTTGGTTCGTCAAAGAACAGCAGCAAATCTGGCTTAGCTGCCAGCTCCACGCCAATAGTCAACCGCTTGCGTTGCTCCACATTGAGGCCTTCGCCGGCAACTCCGACCACAGCGTCTGCGTATTCTCCCATACCGAGCATGTGAATAACCTCTTCGGCGTACGATAACTTTTCCCGTCGAGAAATGCTAGCAGGCTGCCGTAGGAGAGCGCTGAAAACTAGAGCTTCACGAACAGTACTAGTCTCCATATGCAAATCCTGTTGCTGCACATAACCTGTCTTTCGCTGGAAAGAATCGTCGCGTAGGCGGCCATCAATAAGCATATGGCCAGAAACGACACCAATGGTCACACGGTCAGCCAACACATCGAGCAAGGATGTTTTTCCCGCACCAGTGACACCCATCAAGGCCGTCAGAGTGCCTGGTTTGACCCAGCCATCCACGCTGTCAAGGATGCGTCGCGGGACTCCGTTGATCTTGATGTCGAAACACACATTTTCCCAATGGAAGATAGAAGTTTGGCGAACAATTGCTGCAGTTGTGTCCCGAGATTCGCTAGCGACTGCACCTTTCTCTGATGCAATGACCTCCTCTGGATCCTCTTTTCGAATATTCTTCGCAAACGCAGGAACCTTGCCACGCGGATACACCAGAATCTCACCTTTGGATGGCTTAGCCCGGATTAGCTCGCTGCTGAAAAGGTACAGCCCAAAGAAGACGGCGAAGAACGCGCAGAGAATTCCGAAGTTTCGCCACAGATGCGGGCTGTAGTATTCGTAAGTTGTGTTAATGTATGCCTCTCCATCGATGAAATTTTGACCTGCCACAGCACCCTTCTGTGAACAGATTTTGGAGCTGAGAGGCGCATCCTTGTAGATGTCCAAGATGCCTGGGACAAAATTCGCGCAAGGGAAGGACCGTCCGCCGAACTCATTGATCATCAACGCCTCAAAGGCGTACTGTATCTCGTTAGCATATTCTGTTGGGACTGAACAAAAGCTTAGTTATCATTTACAGCAATCGGGTTCACATAGTTGAGCCACCGGAACCAGGGGTGCATATCGCGGACTGGAATCGTAAACCCGGTGTAAATGACCAAGACCAGCATGAAGACTGAAGCAGGGGGCATGGCCTGGGCCACGGATCGCGAGATTGCGCCGATGAACCGGAAGATATTGGACATCACAAGGGTTGTCGTTACCGAAATCATGAAAAAAATGAAAAAGTGTCCCGGAGTTCGCCGAAGATGAGGTAAGAAATAGATGATCAAATTGAAAGCGAGTGCTAGCAAGAGCTTTGATGGGAGTTCCACAATGTACGCGCTGAAAGCTTCCGCTGAGGTATGGTATAATGCGTACTTGCGATGCTTTTCCACGATCGGCCGCTGCTGCCACATGACCATGATTTCCAGTGAGCTAGAGAAGGCACTGAGCATTATCGCAAAGAAAATCAGGCTACCACGATGGTAGAAGCTGTCGGTGTTGTCCGGTGTGTCGTAGAAGAGACTGGAAATGATCAGAGACATGCCCACATTTCCAAGGAGTGTGGCAAGAGTCATAGCCATGTCTGCCTTGAGCCGCAAAAATCCTCGCCAAAGACACAGGCGGATTTGCATCGGATACGAGAGCGTGTATGGGGAGCTTTCACGAGTAAACCTGGCTTTGTCTGCAGCACGAGACCGACGGAACTGCTCAGCCTTGTCGTATTTTCCGGCTGCAATTCTTTCAATCTCAGCAAGAAGCTGCTTGCGCTCCGGACTTTCCTTCCAGCGTGCTGCAAACTCATCGGGTGTGCGTGGAACGGAGTTTTCAAACCCGGGGCGAACAAGACGTTCTGACGGACTGGTGAGGGAGGTGAGGAAGTCCGCAGTAGTTTGTCTATCTGGGCAGTGGAATCCCATCTTGACAAAGAAGCGTCGTGCATTGGCCGCACTTCCGAAATAGATCTGACGACCTTCGTAGAGCACGATTGCCTTGTCAAACAGATCGTAAATGGACTGACTCGCTTGGTAGATTGCGACAATGGCGGTGGATCCACTATAGTAAGTGGAGAAGCGGATGTACTTGACAAATTCCAGGGCCGTTGCGCTGTCGAGTCCACGGGTGCTGTTGTCCCAACACTGCAACGGGCATCGACACAGAGTGGTTTCGGCGATACTGACCCGTTTTCGTTCCCCGCCTGACACACCTCGAATGAACTCATTGCCGACTTTTGTGTTCATGGTATGGGTCAAGCCAAGCGTCGCCATCACCACATCCCGCATATGGGTCGCGTACTGGTCGCGTGTGACACCCGGAAGTCGGTTACTCGGTGCCCGAGAGTGGGCGGCAAAGAGCAACGTATCACCGACTGTCAATTGAGGGAAGTGTGTCTCGGTTTCAGCTTGGTAGATGACCTCGCCGCGGTAACAACTGTGCATGTCGTCCCAGGATATGCCGTCGTACTGCACTTCAGACCCTCTCTCCTTGTCAAGGTAGAGACCATGCGTCTCTCCGGCAATAGCTTTGAGGAAGGTGGAGCATCCGCTGCTGGCCGTTAGTTATTAGTCTTTTGCAGAGGGTAATCAATCTACGTACCTTCCCGGGCGACCTAGGACAACCAGCATCTCACCACTGTGAAGAATGCCTTCGAAGTCCCGCAGGATATCAATTCGTACTTTCTTCTGAAAGCCCAGGGTATTGCGGACCCATCCCGCACCTTTGAGCCAGAAGTTGGCAAAATTGGTCTGATAATCAGACCCAGTGCCATAACCGAAAACATTGAGATTTCGAAAGGAGACTCCTGCGGTGCGACCTGGGTACCGGTCTGGGTCGCCAGAGGTCATCTGGATGATGTTCTTTACCCATTTGCGCGATTTGAACTGGTCGCTGTTGGGATTCAATTCTGGGTCACTGGTAGTATCCAGAAAGGTGTTGACACCCTGTGAGGGCACACCAGCACGGACGCTACTAGTTCGTGAGATTTGCGAGATGGAACGTGCCAGAGTGGTGATCTGTCTGTCGTGATCATCCCCGGACTCAGATACTGGAGTCTCTGAGCCAGGGGTATCAACGGTATTGTCAAGCATGTTCACCATTTGATCTGGCATCAGTGGAGTCGGCGAGAAGCCTAAAGAAGGAAGAAGGTGTGAAGTCATAAAGGGAACACGTGAGGGAACGCTTGAAGAGAGGTAAACGAGAGGTGTTGACGGAGAAAAACAAATGATGAGGTGACAAAGAGTCGGGGGAATTAAGGAAGGAACCAAGAGAAGGAAGCAGGAAGAAGGATGAGAAGGGAGTCAATGAAGGTAAAGGAAAGAACGGCAACCGGAAAGTAAGAGATCCGAGATCCTTTAGGGAAAGAGGTCTCCATGGACCGTGGCTCTTTCCGGAAATGAGAGTTGTACACACAATGCACACTATGGACACCGTGGTGATGTCTCAATATCAGCTGTGTATCTGAAGATGTGAAGATGTGAATATCTAACTTGAATGCGACATTGTAACTATGATACAACATCACATAAGCTATACATTTAAGGTGTTTTTCAGGCTCTTGATTGGCTGTGTATCAGCATGGTGCCCCCCCCCCCCCTCGCCCCCGCGTCTTATATATAGCAATTTCCCATTTCGGTAAACGGCTCTGGGGTGACAGTTGGCTCGGATATATCAGGATCCGAGAGTCTAATGAGAACTTTATCAGAGACCGGAATTAACACAGACCGGACCTCAAAAGATCCGAAGGATGAAATCATGTGACACTTCCATTCTCTATAGTAGCACACATAAATCTCTATATACTTCCTCCTTGTCACCTAACTGGCACCTCATCCACCTTATCCCCCTCTCCATACGTCCCGAATACACAGGCTTGTCCTCATCTATGCCTGCAAGATCAACTGTCTCCACGAGCTACGGTCATCAGATCCTGCAATAATAGTACCGGGGGGAACCACCGCATTTTGGACATGAGTAACCCGAGTAGTACTCAAAACACAGCCACGGGCCGAGACAGCCTCAGCTGTCAATCTCTGGTACGAGTGACTAGCCAGGAAAAAGGAAGTTTCGAATCCATCGCGTGTAGCTTCGCCCAAGAATTCCCGGGACCCAAATCCATCTGTAACAGCATAGAATCGCCAGACCGCCGTCTCGGTGTCACCGTTCCACGAAACAAAAATTCCGGTACCCGAGGAGGTCTTCTCGGCTACAATAGCGGGTTCTTCTGTGGGTAGGCCAGTCCAGTTGTATCGGAATGCTCGATAATTCTGGACACCCTCGCCCAACCGTCCTGAGTCCATATAAGCGTGGAAAATCGGGGTACCGTCCGCCCGGAACTCGGTCACAGCTCCTTCGGAGCCCCAATTGACCAGGGCATTGTTGTTGGGCAAAAGCTGGGTGCTGCCTTGAGATTTGGCGAGAAGTCCGTCGGGAGGCTGGAAAGCTTGAACAATGTCCGCAGTCCAGGTGACAGTGTTGACGGAAATGACCTTGCCCTGTGAGAAAGGATGAGTGTGGACCTCTTTGCCGCCGTGGTTCTCTGTTCCATGAGCGGAGTTATCGAAAAGAGAGATAATTTCTTCATTGTCACCCTGCTCGACGAAGCGTGCGTGATGCTGGAAGCAGAACCTGACGTTGGGTCCGAGTTCAAAGTCCGAGCGTAAACCACCCAGTCGCCAGATGATCTCTCCAGTGGTACCATTGACCTTGTGGACTGCACAAGCATCCCGAGCGGAAATCAGGTAGTTGCCTTCGACATCCTTGTCCACAGAGTTAATATGGAAGTAGTCCCATGCGTCGGATGAGTTGTAGCCTGCACCTGCTTGACCGGGGTTGAGAGGGAGGACCGCCTCTCCATGATGTTAGATTAGTCCATTATAATCATTCAAGACAGTTGACTTACCATCAGGAGATACATGCTCCAAGCTAGACCACTCAAATAGCAGTTCTCCAGTCTGAAGGTCCAACTCTACTACGAATTAGCTTTAGCTCTTCATGCGTTCGGAAACCCACATACCCTGGAATATAGCATCGACAATCCACTGTTGCTCAGGGCTAGCACCCCAGCGAGACAGATCCTTCGGCACAGGCTGATAGACCTGAAGCAATGCAGTCTTCTCATCGATAACATGGAATTCATGCTTATCCATAAGCTTATGGTTTCCCGCGCGGAGCTCCCGAATCGTCTCATATTTCTGATTCAGAATGGTAGCATGACCATGACCATGTCCATAGGCCGGGTTATGATCACCTTCAAAGCTGAACAGCACATCCCGACCATTCCATCTGGCCTTCTGGAAGTTGGTGGCCCAAATGGAGAAGTAGGTATAGCCCGACCAGACGAGCTCACCGTCATCGCGAACGATATACGGAGCTTCTTGGCGCGGACCATGGAACTGCGGCTCAGCCCATTGACCGGGGAAAGGCGCGATGAAGAGGTAACCTTTCTCGACATCCTTTGTGGCCGGGATGGTGATGTTCAGACGAGGCGGGGCCAGGTCGGTTCGAGATTTGAATTGCCAGTCTGCCGCAGCGAGTGGCAACAGCGCTACGGTGCAGGCGACGGCTTCAAGGAGCTTCATGATAAGTACTGGTCGGGCGATCAGTTTCCATGATGCTAGTCATTATGTGCATGATAGGGTACATTAACCTTAGTTGGGTACTCTGCACTGAGTCTCTTTGACTTGCTTGAGTTGGGATAATCGGAATACTTGTGTAAAATGAGAAGAAAATGGGCACACATCCTTTATAAATACATCCAAGCCCTAACTATGTCAGAGTGGAACATGATGTCGTGCTTGGCACTTGGCGGGGGATAATCCGCTCGCATTTCCCGATTGAGTGCCCGCTGAAATTTCAGAAATTTCCGACATTCAGACTGTTCTTTCGTTCTTTTGAATCGCAACGTTGTAAAACATTTGAACTCAATAATGGCATTATTGGATCCCCAGAATGAAAGTGTCTTGGTGATGCCGACACACGAGAATGCGGCCGAAATCTCGTCGCAAAGCGAAGAGCAACCTTTGTTGCAATCGGATCCAGTTCCTGCGCCTTGGAGCCCGCCCCCGGGGTTTCTACTGATTCAAATCGGTAAGTCAAATCAAAATCCATACATCGAGCAAATTTTGACAATTTAACAGCGATCATGGCCAATGTATTTCTTGGCGGGTTTGACGGCACCATCACCGCCTCGACCTATGCTGTGATCAGCTCCGAGTTCAACGCCGCGAACACTGCTTCGTGGTTAACCACCTCGTACTTAATCACAAGCACGGCGTTCCAGCCTCTTTATGGCCGATTCTCGGATCTACTCGGTCGCCGGTCTTGTTTCTTCACTGCAACGATCACATTCATGGTTGGTTGTCTAGGATGTGGTGTGGCACGTGATGTGGTCTTTTTGAACATGATGCGCGCCTTGACGGGCATCGGTGGCGGAGGGTTGATGACTATGGGTAAGTCAAATGGCTTTTCAATCAACTACCAATCGCTAACAAAGTATTGCAGCAACAATCATCAACTCGGATCTCATTCCCTTCCGTCAACGCGGTATGTACCAGGCAATTCAGAACGTCTCGTACGGCTTCGGAGGCATCTGTGGTGCTTCATTTGGAGGTGCCATCGTTGACTCGATCGGATGGCGCTGGTGCTTCCTGCTGCAGGTTCCAATCTCCTTGTTTGCTTTGGTCATGGGCTATAGAGTCCTGAGGTTTCCTCCACGCAACATTGAAACCTCCCCAGCTGGGCAGACTAAAGGAATTTGGCAGCAGATCGATATGCTAGGCGCATGTGTGCTAATCTTGGCTCTTTCGGCTCAACTGGTCGGACTCAGCCTGGGTGGCAACATCCTCCCTTGGACTTCCATGTGGGTAGTTCTGCCGTTAGTCTCCAGTGTGGTATTGCTGGGCGCATTTGTCGCCGTCGAAGCGAAGACCACCGCCGCACCTTTGATTCCATTGAAGATGCTCCGAGGACAGCTCGCTGTTTCCACACAGATCGCCAACGTTTGTGTCGGGATGTCAGCATACGCAGTAAGCTCGCCGTTCCACCCGCCCTATGAATATTGTAACTAACGCAATGCATCCAGTTCCTCTTTACTCTGCCTCTCATGTTCCAGGTGATTCTCCTCGACTCCCCCAGCAAAGCTGGTACTCGGCTGGTGGTTCCCTGTTTGTTCACCCCACTGGGTGGTCTCGTAGCGGGAATCATCATGTCACGCTGGGGTAGACTGACCTCCATTGTGCGCGTCGGTGCAGCCCTCATGTTCGTGGGCAACCTTCTCGTCGCTCTGCTCCGATTCAACGACTCGGAATGGAAGTATTTCGCCTATGTCATTCCCGCCAACTTGGGTCAGGGAATGGTGTACCCAGGAATCCTGTTCACATTCCTAGCGGCCTTCGACCACGCCGGTAAGATGCTCTTTATCGCCGCCTCCATTACCCTAATCCTCGAGCGACCGCGCCATTTCCAAGCGAGCCTGCTAACAATATCATCTGCAGATCACGCCGTCTCCGCCTCAACCGTCTACCTCATCCGCTCCCTCGGGACAGTTTGGGGCGTCGCAGTGACCTCCACCATCATGCAGAATACACTTAACTCAGGCCTCGGGGAGGCCTTGAGTGGAATACCCAATAAATGGAAAGTACAATTCCTTCGCCGGTCGATTTTACTGAGCCCCTGAACGAGCCTTGCTGACCAGAATCCTCGCTTCCTCTTAGGTGATTGATGAGATCCGCCACTCAGTCTCGGCTATCTACGATCTCCCTCCGGATGTGCAAATGGCCGCTCGGCTGGTGTACTACCGCGGGATCAGACTCTCCTTCATGGCCTCCGCGCTCTTCGCATTCATTGCGACCGTCGCTTCGATCTTTACCCGTGGAAAGGGTTTGGAGCGCGCGGGAAGCAAGTAAAGATTACGACTTCGCACCCCGAACGAACCCTGTAGGGGTGTATGGGGGCGTAAGCGTGGTGGTTATGGTGAGATCAACCCACGTCTCTCGCAGACCCGATGGATTGGTGTGTCGCCGCCAATCCGCCTTACTCCACAAAAAGTCTCCTCGACCAAATACATAGAGGTGGTAACAGACGGAAGTAGATAAGGCGACCGCGCGGTCCAGAGCACTGATGCTCAATACGACGGGTGGTAGATATTGGATGGTTATATATTAGAATATAGAAGTTGGCGAGTTGGAAATAGAAATATTAAGGCTGAGTCCTTCAGTCTAACGAATATATGATCCGTCTAGGAAAACAGTAAGCTGTCTTAGAAACACACTTAGCTGTATCAGTGCTAGTGCTGATAACACTGTAATGTAACCTGGATGATACCATTCTCCAACCTCCCACCTTCCCTACTCTGTTCTACTCAGTCAGTACGAAAGCAGTTCAAACACAATGCATACCGACACCTTCCACCTCTACTCATATTTCTGCTCCTCATGTTGCCAACGAATCATCATAGCCGCTAACCTCAAAGGCATCCCTCTTGAATACACCTACGTGGATCTCGGCACAAAAGAACACACAACGGACGAATACAAAGCATCGAACCCCAGCGCCAGCGTGCCGACCTTGATAGTGACAAGCGCCAACGGCGAAAAGACCATCCTCCGCCAATCCATGACCATCCTAGAATATTTCGAGGAGAGGTACCCAAATATATATCCACTTCTCCCTCCGGGATTACACGATCGGGTGCAGGTACGGGATTTGGTGAATATCATCGCAATCGATACACAACCGACTACAAACTCCCGTATCGTACAACGCGTGAAAGCTATCCGTGAGAGTCGCGAGGATCAGGTTGAATTTGCCACACAGGCCTTTACCGACGGATTCAAAGCCTACGAAGGTCTGTTGGTGAAGCAAGCCAGGGAGGGGGCATATTCATGGGGAAATACTGTTTCTATGGCGGATGTGGTACTAGTCCCTACAGTTGACCAGGCTTTGTTGTACCGAATGGATTTGGATTTTGTGCCTAACGTCAAGCGCATCCATTCTGCTCTCAAGGAGTTGGAGGCTTTCAAGGCTGCGGATTGGCGGAATCAGGGGGATACACCGGAGAAATTTCGGGGTCAGAATGCTTGACGCTTGTTGGGTTTAGGTCTGGTGGGAGTGAAGGGAGGACAGGGATTAATGTGATCGATACTGAATGAACTACTTCTTATATTGGGATGGAATCAATGGTTATACAGACAAAGGTTGCACAGTTTATGCCTTTCCCACTTATTTCCTGGATCTGTTTAGAAGGCTGTCAACCAGGACAAGCAAGAAAGACATAAAGAGCATAGCTGAGAAGACTGCTAAAAAAAGACTACTAAAAAGACATCACAAGGTCGTATGAGCGGTCAACTATTCATGTATATTTGCTTGTAGCCATGCTATGTATACGCAACACTCACTGCCCAAGACTAATCCATCCTACTGAAGATACATTAATTGGTAGTGAGTACGGCAATACTTAGATTTGGCAGCTTGAAAGAGAACTCGCCCTTCTTGCCAGCCTTTATCTTAGTAGTTTTGGTGTTGACAATGTTCGAACCGCCCACCTCGTTCATCGAAAATGCATCCGGTGCAGTCAAGATGGTCAAGTCTGCTTTGGCGCCACGGCCGACACCCTCGAATGTCAGCGATACAGGCACATCGGATGTGCTGTTGTATACTGCTGCCTTGAAGATGTGTGATTTCGTCTCGCTGTTCACACCTGTCGCATAGTACAGAGGGCCGAAGGCGTCGGATGAAGTGGCCGGGAGGGTATTTGTCATGACGTTCTTGTTGTACAGCTATATTTGTGCCTTATGTCAGTGGGTGCACTCTCAAGATGTGATAATTGTGTAACATACAGTCCACGCGTGCCAGCTGGTAGAGCGAGCTGTCTGGTCGGGATCGGCGTTGAACGATAGCATGGTTGGGGACCATTGGTACTTGTCCAGGTTCATCATGAAGGGAGCCTATTCCTTCGTCAGTTCTCATCTAGTAAGATTATGTTAGAACAACTCACGTAGGTACTTCCAATGACCTTGTCAGCGTTACGCTCGGCACCAATAAGGAACACAGCTTCGGCAACGGTTCCAATCCACCACGGATACTGAGAGAAATGAATATCGCTCCAGTCGATATCAACTCCATTCAGTGGCGAGGTAGCGGCAATCTCACCTTGGTGTGTGTTAGCTATGGACTCACAATTATACCAAGTCACTTACCGAGCAAGATCGGATGCTTCGGCGAAAAGTTGTCAAACATGTCGAACTTCTTGACAAAGTTATCCGCGTTATCATACAAATGGTAATCACCCCCTGCATTTCCAGGAATTGTCATATCGATAGTAGACGTCAGGACCTGGATATCGGGATATTTGGCCGTGATAGCGTCGTAGAATGCCGCGAACCGGTAGGCCTTGTACGTCTCCAGTCCGTTGCTCAGCATATCCTCGTTTCCAACCTCGACATACCGAATTTTCCACGGCTCTGGGTGTCCAACCTCGGCGCGTAGAGCACCGTACTCGGTGTCCACGGAGCCGGTCAAGAACTCGATCTCGTTGAGGGCATCTTGCACATAGAAATCGAGGTCGGCCTCCGGAACAACGTCTCCGTTCAAAGCAAGTCCAGCATAGACCGCCAGGACTAGACAGGTCGTGTCAGCTTGGTAAAGCAAAGCGCTGCAAAACTATATACTCACTGGGCTCCATGTTAAGATCGTCACACCATTCCATGTACTCAATCAAACCCAGTCCAAGGGTCTCTTGGTATTGCCAGGTGGTTGCACGGCCAGGTCGGTCTGTGAGTGGTCCAATAGTCTCGTTCCACTTCCAGCGGCCGTCGATGCTATCACCCTCGAGGTTATTTCCACCAGGGAAGCGAAGGAATTTCTATCAAATTTATTAGCATCATGGATCTTGAGTTTTTTTTTACCCCAAACGAAATAGATGCAATAAGACTTACAGGGCCCATATCAGCCATGGCTTGCATCAGGTCCTTCCGCATGCCATTGGGGCGATCATTCCACGTGGGTGGGAATAAACTGATCAGGTTAAAATCAAGCGAGCCACCTGCCGCTTTCTGAAAAGAATTAGCCGAGGCATATAGTAAAGCTCATGTCAAATCTTACCGAGCCGTCGAAGGTCAGGGAGAACGAGTTCTTGGAATTGGAAGCCTTTGCTTTGGGGGTAAGGACAAACTTATGTTGCACCCAGTCATTTGCAACACTCTTCGAGGCAACCTTGGCAGTGGCCAGAACTTTGCCGCTGGAAGAGAGGAGAGAGGCTGTGAAAGAGCCTTTATAAGAGCCTTTCACGTAGAAAGACCCGGTATACTTCTGAGGACGAACGTCAATTCCCCAGAAACCCTCATTAGTCAACCCAGCTGTGCCAGAGCCCTTGACATTGACCGAAGTTGGAAGGGCAGTTGACAGCGGATCGGTGAGGTTCTTCAGGGACAGCGATGAGCCCCCAACACCAGACCAGGCCTCCAGTGACGAGGGGAATTTGCTGCTCCCCTGGAACGCTCTGTTGCGGATTAATTCGGCATAGAGACCACCTTCACCGCAGTGATTGATTTCCTATATCCTGAGTCAGAGCCGATACTACAATGGACAAGAGCCTCCACATACCTCTTCCATCGCACCATATTGCAGACCTGATGTGGCATTGCCTCCAGATTTGGCAACCGAAATAGTGACAGCAGCACCATATGACGCCAAAAGTGGCAAAAGAAGATATTTCGGCAGCATTTTGCTGTGTTCAGTTCACCACTGGCTGTTGCAACCTGCTGATCCTATTTATAATGCACGGAATATGAGTAAACGGCGCGCTGTAGCGGATATTTATATGCAAGCTGCTCAATCAGCCAGCGCGGAGTGCCATGTCGGTTAATTACTCGTACTCCTCACCGTGCTTTAATTGACCCGGAGGGAGCGAGATGACATCCGGGTTAGAAGAGTATAGCTTGATCGCGTCCTTTGTGCAGGAAATCTGCCGACAGCGAATGTATTACCGAGCCTTTATTCCCGATTAGGTAAATCTCCATGAGGAGTGCATGTACCAAGAGGAACCCCTCCAAGTAAACACCGCCTGGGGAAACATCGGCCCAACCAAAGCCGGCGTATGTTGTAATCGTCTATTCCTTGCATGGGCCATGCAACACTGCAGCGATTGCCTCTGGGAAAACCGCCAAGGCTTACACCTGTACGCAATTTCAGATTCCTCACGCTAATTTGAGAATTGGCGCCGCATTCAATGGTTACATCTCCCTTGGCTGACGCTGAGGGGTAGTTGGTCAACGCCATGACAGGGGATATGAGTTGTGATTGACGGGTAAATCGACGCGCCTTTCTCCGCTGCAGATCCTCCACTTCCCCGTGCCTGGTCATGTCCCGATTTCCCCGGGCATTGGAAAAATATTAGAATGAGGGAAAATGTGGGAAAGGATGAATAGTACTCATTTCTCCATATACACTATTTGCATTTTGATGTTTCACTCCCATAATTATGTTTGAGATTTCTTACAATAGATCAGGAATAGATATCAGCATATGAAAGAAACAATAAATTCACAAGAAACAACAGAAATTAAATGATAATGAGTGATTATTGCTGTGGTTGAATACTCCCAAGGGGCCATGGGACAATGGGAACAATGAGATGCGTGCAATCGTGTAGCAAACCTGATGCCTGCGATGCTGTTCAATGTTCTTAGAAGACAGTACCCTTGACCTGGGCGGTCTTTTTGAGATCAATATCTCGGATCAGGATGGTCCAGGCAATGGCCAGACCCATGACACCCAAACCAGCCGAAAGCATGCGGACTTCCGCATAGGCGTAGGCCTTCTGAATGGCCAGTCTCACCTCGCTTCCGAGGGGATAGCTAGTCTGCACAGTGAGATCTTCATAAATGTTCTCAAAGTTCGACATGGCCGATTCTGGGAGGTATTCCCTGAGAGCATTGGGAAAGGTATTGGTCCATATGGCGGTGCATATAGTATAGCCGGCGGAATCGCCGATAGTGCCAACGACATTCAACAGAGCTAATGCAGCTGCAACGTGTTGGTGATCGACAGCGGCTAAGATGGAAATCTGCTCGACGATGATGAAAATCGAACCGCCAATCGAAATGAAAATTTGGCACATGATCTGGTATCCGACACCCATACCAGGCTTACGGAAATAAATCATCAATCCCTGTGCAAAGATGTACAGTGGGACGGAGATGTATAGCAGCCACTTGAAACGACCGGTCTTTCGGATGGCCCATCCGACAAAGAGAAGCAACACGCCAGACACGACATCGAATGTGTTGCTCACATACCCAGCCTCAGCGATCGTCAACCCGTTGACCACCTGTAGGAAGGAGGTGAAGTAGTTGTTCCAGCAGTAGTAGGAAAGCTGGTAGGTGGCATCCAAAAGACAGGCGCCGATAACGGTTCGGTCGGTGAGGAAGACAATATTGAGCAATGGCACGGGGGCTACCCATTTCTCGTATATAGCGAAGAAAAACAGCATCGAAAATCCGACGACGAGCATGGCGATGATATAACCCGAGCCCCAGCCGTTAGGCGCTTCACTCGCGATATCGAAAGGAAGTTCGAAGAGGACCAGTCCAGCGGTAAACATGAAAACGCCGGGCACTATTCGAGATTAGTCTTTGTTTACAGAACAAAATAGTTCAGAGTTAAACAGCCGTGTCGATGGCGACCGATATGCGTAGAATGAAAATGGTAGGGAAAGGTGATACTCACAATCAAACTCAATAATCCAGTGCCATACGCTTTGCAAAAACGTGCGACCGCTCTTTTCCTGGATCCGATGCCCTTCCCTTTCCGCTTTGCGAAGATTGGTCTTGAGCATGAAGTACAAAGGCGCCGCGACGATAGGGAAGATGATAGCCCAACATCCCAGGCCCCATCGCCAGCTGACCTGATAGTAGAACTCATCTGCTACTTTTGCCCCTGCAAATGCGGTAATAATGTATGGGGAAGAGGTGAAGGCAAAAGCCAATCCTCGGTTCTTCAATTTGGAGGCATCGGCCGTCATCACATCAATGGCGTATTCCATGCCACTGAATCCAATATAGTAGAACACCTAATGCAAGATGTAAGTATATGCAAAGCAAGCTCGACGTATCATTATGATGAGCATTGAAGGCAGTCTTACGTATGCAGTGCAGTAGATGGCAAAGCTGTTGCAAGAGGCCAAGAGAATCAATCCCAAGGTCGCGAAGCATGTCATCAGCAGGAATCCTTCCGCGCGGCCCCAAGTGTCCATCATCTTTCCGACAGGAATATAAATCGCTGCTGAGAAAGCATCGGCAAGCGCAGTTGGCACCCCAGATAACGAATGAGCCGTGAAAGAACTGGAGACATAAGGGCTCAAGCTGGCGAAAACCGAGGATTGGAAGGCGTTAACGAAGTATAGGAACCAGATACTATGAGTAAATTGTCTTAGCACCTGTTCAGGTCAGTCAGCGGGGGAAATAGCATACTTGATAAAAACAAGAATCAAGGTCCGCTTGGACCAGGTCATGGTAATAGCTTCGATATCCCTGACACCATGCTGGAGGTCTTCCGCTGGCACTTCCGGCCGTTTCACTTCAGTATCAGAGGCAGGATCGATTTTGTTTCCCTCGACTGTTATTCCATCCACTGCGCTTGTCACAACTGAGCTTCCAGCGCCAGGAGCCGCCATGCGACTAAAGACCGTTCGGGCCCGTCGGACCAAAAGACGGACACCCATGTTTGAAACGACGTATAATCAAACACACACTCTACCCAGACTCGCAAATAACGGGGCAGCCGTGGCATTTAAAATATCCAAACCCCCGAGATCGGTAGCCTGGGTGGGAGACTGAAAAAGCCATAAAAAAGCCACGCGGTGTTGTGACCCGCATACTAAAACGGTAACTTCTCGCGCCCTCTGGCGGTAATCTGGTGAAATTATTGCATCCACTCGGAAAAGAGCAAGGCCTGCTAGCCTAGGGCTAGATCCACTAAGAACTACGAGCAGAAAGGGCAGATCTAATCAGATGTCGCCCTCATCTTATCTAGCGAGCGCTAGGCTATAACGGGCAAGCGCCGTCCACAATAAGCTTCGTATTGTCGGTCTCAAGCTTTGCTTGGCCTCTTGGCTTCAAGAATTCCATATTAACTGTGGATACTTCCTCGTCTTTCCGGTCATAAATCATGGAATTCCCTCATTTCGCGTGTCTCAGATGGAATCCAGGAACCGGCATGTATTCCGGTAAAGCTCTTGCGTTGTATGATTTGCGCCGGGCCCCGGGCCACCACGGGGATAATCAACCGAGATATTTATCTGATCGAGATTGTGTAATCTTGAGATGTGATTTTCAGCAGCTGTCATCGTGGGTGATTCGTTTATAGGCAACCTAATATAATTAAAATTTTTGAATGAACCATAATTGACATCCGCGGAAATCACAGTTGATTCAAGCGCCCTATCATATTAACAAATGTAGCAAAGCACCCAGCGCAGCGTTCATTTGACCAGTAATTTCGAGTCCTGACCTAACTACTACTTGTTTCGTCTGAGGGATCGCGGGTGGAGATAGGGTCATAGCGAACTGTTCGACGCAGAGTCGAAATGACTAAGTCAATTAATTGATTTTCCTAGAGTCTGAGGGTCGCTAACGGCCAAGGGTTTCTTTCGCTGTCAATTTTCGAGAGCAACATATCTCATTCCTGACAGACAAAGCTAGGGACCAAATGGTTAGTAGATGGGAAATAAACCAACCTTGGAACCCACCTAACGAGTACTGTCATAGACTGTCCCAACTTTAGAAGGTCTTTACTTTTGTACTACACGTATGTAACAATTTTCTATGAACATAATTCCCTTTTCATCGACAATATTAATTTCAGTTAGCGCTCATGTGCTCAAGGCTCTACCGTAACCCCCTTAACAGATATCCTATTACGTACGTAGATCATGTGTTTAATACATGTACTATCTCCCCTTAGTTACCAAGATTACTTGTTCTAGTTCAATAAGTCAATTAATCCACTTGTCCCTGGATCCCCTCAGGTGAATTTTCTATCTGCAATTTTCTCTTCAGCTCCTACATAGGAATCAGATGTAACAACAGTTTGTCCCAGCATCTGGCCGCCGACTAGAGTGACTTCATTACTGGAGACCTGTCTGCTTATGGACGTGAACTCCATGGCTTCTTGGATTTCACGAAGCAAAGGGTCACCTTTTGGAGCCCTGGGGAATTTTGTCCTTCGTTGGAGAATCATATAAGAACGCCGAAAATGAGGGACATGTCTATTCAGAAAAGAGTCCAGTCTCCATGCGTGACAGTGTCAGTTTATGTATCGCTGATTCCAATCTCGTGGCAAGAAACTTACTTGGAACTAGTCCATGCATCCAAGGCTGAGTAGTGAGCTTGGGTATATTCATGATCTAAGCCAAAGTACTGCACACTGAAACGGAGACACTCCGTTCTCAAAGCAACGGCTTCTTTGTATCGACCTTGGGAATTCCATGTGACAGCTAGCCATGACATAAGTTGGATAGTTTCAGGATGCTCGCTTCCAAATATGCGTTTGTGGATCTCGACTGCTTCTGTCAACAATGATTCGGCCTCTGTTAGCCGCCATAGATGTATGTATATGATGGCCATCGTAGACATGACCCCAACTGTTCGGGGATCTTCCAACCCTAGGCTCTTTTTGTGGAGATGCAACGATTGAATAGATAGCTCTAACGCATCGGAGAGCCGTCCATGCATGAAATAGTCCAACATCAAAACGTAGATAGCATCCAGTGTCTCCCAAGAGTTCGGGCCAACTGATTTCATGTAACGTGGGATGACTTTCCTGCAAAGCTCTTGAGCCTTCTTGTAGTCGCGAGCCTCGCGGTACGCAGCCGTTAACTGGAAAAGAGCTCTGGTGGCTTCAATGCTTTCTGGACCTTGAAGTCTTTCCTGCATCTCCAGTATCCGCTCGCAGAGTTTTATCGCTTTCTCTGACTTTCCTTGGCCTGAGTAGCTATTTGCTAGTCCAGAAAGACCCACAATAGTCCATGCATGTTCAGGGCCAAACAATGTCTCCGAGATTTTAACCATTTCACTGAAATGCTCTTCGGCTTGTTTGCGTCTTCCGTCACTCATTTGACATGTGGCGACCTTGCATAAGAGACCGACCCTATAGAAAACTGGATCTTCTCTTGCGGTGAGGGCAAGGACCTGGAGGGCATGAGGCACCGCTGCTCGCCATTGAGTCCGATTTGTCATTTGGGTATTAGGAAAGCAAGTATCCAACGCATGCACCACATCTAATTGCCATTTTCGCAGGGAATTATTGGACTGGAGCCAATTTCTTGTGGCGAGATGAACTAAACGATGCATATCGAGACGTGATCCTTCGTGTGTTACGCGTACGAATGAGTAAGAGCTAAGCAAGCCGATCGCTTTTTGCTGTTTGACATTTGGCGCCGGAGGGAGCAGCGAAATCAGTATATCCCTCTCTTGAATGCAAGCCATGAAGCAGAGATAATCGGTTGCAAGGGAATTCTGCCGCTGAATTTGCTCAAAGGATGTAAGCCATGTAGTGACGACAGGGTTGCGAATGCTTTTGTATCGACCTTTATCCTCAAAGTCCTCGCTAAGTAGATCAATGGCGTTCTGCTCCTGTCCGTCCAAAAGCTCAACATAACCGTTGAATGTTATTCCGTTTTGGTTGATAAAGGAAGCAGCTTGCACAATAGCCAAAGGAAGAAAGGTCAATCGACTGAGGAGCTTTCGTGTAGTCTCGCCATCGCGAAGAAGCTCTTTGTCAATCAAAGAGTTTCGCAAGACACGGGTAGCTTTCTGCTCGTCCATTTCCGGAATTTGGACAACGTCTGTTGCGGCAAGGTACTGGGCCACTTTGTTGCTTCGAGTGGTAAAGACAATGGCGCCTTGGTCACTTGTGGGAAGGTAATCTCTCAGCCCTCCGTTCGGTGAATTACTGCCTTCAATCCACATATCAATCTCATCGGCGTTGTCAAAAATTAACAGCCATCGCCCAATACTGGGCTTGCTCAGGTGGGCCTTGACAAGGCTCTTCACATCCTCCTTCGACGATCTCGTGTTATCGAAGTCGATTCCAAGCTGGTCAGCCACCATCTGGTACGCATGTTGAAGACTTTCCATATCAACAGCTGGGAGCCAGAAGATGGCACAATCTGGATAGAGCTCTTTTGTTTGATAGGCAAGCTCCAGGGCAATTTGTGTCTTGCCTATTCCCCCAAGTCCAAAAATTGCGATCCTCTCGGCTCTGTTGTTGATAAACAATTTCTGTTTGATCTTACCCACAAACTTACGGTCGACATAGCGGGAATTCCTCTCAAAAGGAATAAGCCAGCCAGCGGCCTTTCTGTGGTAAGTCTGGGTGTCCGACGAACGCAGGGTTTGTAGGATTCGATGGCGGGAAAGTCGTGCTCCATGTTCCTAACTCGTGTTAGTACAAGTCATCCTAACATGGCAGTCTTTTTGAAGACTGAACAATTATATATTACACGTATGGTTGTTTCGAAGTCAATGCTAGTCTTTTCTGCGAGCTGTCAGCATCTCATCACAACAATAGAAGTTTCCCATGTTGAAGTCCTACCTGATTTTGCTGAAAGATTCAAAATACAATCACGGACTTGAACCTTTTGAGAGGAATGATGCAGATAGGCGTATGTCGCAGACTCAATCACACTTTGCTTCTCAAAATCGGTCATGTGAACTTGCTGTAGTCCTTGCTCGACGCTAAAACGAAAGTAGCGCTTTCCCTTGACCTCATTGCTCCATCGGGCCATGAAGCGACGCTCAGTACTCTCCGGTTTAGTCGCCATTCTGACCAATGTCTTGGAAAGAAACTTGAGCACATTGTCATTCATGGGGAGTTGTGCTGGATTGCCAGTTCCAACGGAGATCAAACATTTCACTAATGGTTTCAGGGCCCGGCTTGCGGTGCACCAGATATCGGCCGCTTCCTCTTCTACCTCCTCAATCGGATTGTTGGCACCAAATGCACCGTCCACAAATTTGTGATTGCCGATCGTGACCGAATCAAAAAATCTAGTCGCAGCCGACGTTGCCAATGCTGCTTCACAAATCGTCGCCGATAAGCCAACCTCATTTGGCACAGGATAGCTTCGAAGGCGTGTGACTTGAAATGTATCTTTGGAGGTAGTACAGACAAACGTTTTAGAACGACGGGGTTTCCCATCGTTCATTAGATCGGTTGGCGACGATCCAGCACGAGTGATGACTTTTTCAATGGCCTCTTTGAGCTTATTGCTGTCGTATTGTGATACGATCTTTCCAGACCAATCAACTGGAACAATGTTGATTTTCTCACTGAAGATCGACTGCATCAATTCGGTATATGCAAGGATGCACTCGTCAACACCCATTTCCAGCCGCCCTAGCATTATAGCAATCAGTCTAAGTATGTCTCATATGTCAGCCCAAGTTTTACTAAATCTTTTGTTAATACACACCCTCCTGTGCTGGTACCTGCGATCAGATCGAAGACATCACAAGGCTTGAGGACTTCGCTGTCCTCACGCTCCGAATTAAGCTGTGCCATCACATCCTTCAATATCAGAAGGCTTGACAGTCCTCTCACGCCTCCACCATCCAGGGATAGGAGGCACAATCCATCAGTATCAAGTGGGCTTAGTTCACTCTCTATGGCCATAATGCTATCCACATATGTTGAAGCTTCTTGAGCTACCGAACGACCAAATACAAGATAAAATGACGTGATAACAATAATAACAAATCCAATAAAATTTCATATCGCCGGGGGTATCTGCAATTTAATAATCGTTCCAGGCAACCTTTCAATTGCCCGGACAGCGATGGATAAGACAGGGCGCTTAGCCACAGGATTTAGAGTGGCTTTCTGCCAATCACCCCCGAGACTAGCTTAGACCAAGCGATGCGCCCTCATATTATTAATTTCCATAATAAACCCAGGACAAATGTTTTTTTGCGTGGAAATAACAGAATTCTAGAGTAGAACCATAAATGCCTTCCAGGGCTGACACTTAGGAGGAAAGAATCTTGGGAGAATTCAAGAATATTGGAAAGTTGACGTCGCCAGTTTTAGTACAAGATTAGGTCAAAGCTGGCCGACATGTCGTGTAACATTATTCTTGGATAATATCGTGAAGAGGAGTTTTTAACAGAGCCAAAATTTTGTGCATTTAATACATATGCGCATGTGTCTGAGCAACGGATAATTTTTAAGTCAATCAAGCCTTGGATGCGATGAACAGATATTGGAGCTAATTTGACTCAGCCTGGAGCATTCTGTCCAGAGAAAACAAAAGCTCAATGTAACAAAGACGAAAATGAATTATTGCAATTGAAAGAGTGCAGTAGTCTGTCCAAGAACGCTGTGGGGCGTATCAAGAAATTCCAACGCCAGCAAGAAGAAAGGTATCGTCGATGTCATTGATCGTAGGAGCTTAGCAGCACACGTCGCAGCATTCCAGGCAACATTCGCAACTCTCCTCGCACAAGAAGCAACAGCACATCACGGCCAGACTGGAAGAAAAGCTCAGATCAGTCTTGTTCCAACCTTCCATGGGAGTATGGATACTTACCAGCTCATGAGGCATCCCTTCTCACTCTTCTGCTCTTGTTGTGGAGGCTGTTGCTGTTGCGGAGCATAGCCCATCTGTTAATTGGTAAGCATGGTGCACATGGTGCGTGTTCTGATATTAAGACTAACGTTCTGCTGCTGCGGAGGATAGCCCTGGGGAGGATAGCCCTGTGGTGGGTATCCTTGCGGGGGGTATCCGCCTTGAGGAGGGTAGCCCTGCTGGTAGCCATCACCGCCGTATCTGCATTCAAAATTTGATCAGAATCATGTTATAAATATTTACCAAGCCATATAAGATTTTCGCGTGGACCGAGGTTCGATTTTTCGCGGTCGCAAAGTGCACAGAAGCAGACCTTGGGAAACTTGGTATGATACAGTTGCCGCCGATCTCATGGGGATAGGTAATCACGATATGACTTACGCCGGCTGGGGATATCCGTGGGGTTGCTGGGGAGGATAAGACATTGCGACGGGAGATGTTCTAAAAGCGAGGAAGAACGAATTAGCGACATGATAATAACCAACAGTATAGGGCTTTGCAGCGCCTCGATGTGATGCGACTAGGGTCAGCAGTGGCGGAATGGCCGCCACAGCGGTTAAATCTACCTACCAGATACAAGGGAAAGACCGAGATTGGTCGAAAGGAGGAGGCTGTGATGAGCCGAGATAAGCGAGTGAAATGAAAAGGGAGGAACAAGGTGAGATTGAAAATGGGGAAGGTGATGAGGTTAAGAGTCAGAAAGGAGAGAAAAGGCAAGTAACTCACTTGTGAAGGTTGTATTGCAGAAAAGGAAATTGTTGGGGTACTTGAGAGGTACTTGGACGCTGCACCCGATAGTAGAGTTTGTCTGCCAAGAGTGCAGGGATGAGGTAACTCCGAAGTACCTTTGTGTCTCTCCCCTTTCCCCTTCTTCTCCACACGGCCCGAATTTGTTAAATATTGATCCTCTTGTTTATTTATTTATTTGTTTTTATTTTGGTTGATGAGTGATTTATAAGCCAAGCCATTGATTTACTACTAAAAGTCCACAAGAACAAGTTCATTTCAGTACCTTCGACTCGATGTCTCAGAATCTGGATACCCATTGTGTACTTAGGCCACAGTATTCCAGCAAGGTTCTGTCAGCCACAGTATTCCAGCCCTATCGCCGACTAACGCAGTCAGCCACAAATTGCATTCCTTGGGTCTGATTCAATTGGTTGAGGATCATCCACTGGGTCACACGGGGCCCCACCCTCGGAATCGCTCAGCCACTCAGAGCATTTGCCTGTTGTTTACGCCCCTTGGCACTTGACCGCCCGTATTGTTGCTGCCTGGGCAGTACCTGGTACCTGGACTCTCATACCTTGGAACACTGTGAGGCGGGTACCAACTACTTACTATAGGGCTGAATGCCGAGGATGACTGGTCTCTTGTAATCTTGTGACACCGAGTTTCATTATCATTAGTTCGAGCTACTGTCAGTACGAGATCCGGTCTCTACCCTTATCTCACATCCCAAAATATACACCAAAGAAAACATATCCAGTCCCAATCCCCACTAACCTCAACCATTGACCATATCCCAAAGTACGATACACGAACCCGATCAAACGGTGCTCTCAACAAGCAATCGCCAAAGAACCCACAGATAAAAAAAAAAGAAACAGACTACGATCGCTCACTTGACACACGAATCAATATCAGGCATACAGGATGACTGCGAATCCGAGAACGGCGAACCCATTGACCCCTCAATGTCGAGGTTGAGATCAAGGCCCAGCTCAAAATCAAACTCAAACGGCGCATCGGGAAACTCGGGGGATTGGTCAGACTCCTTCAGCAGAGCCGACTCCACAACATAGGGAGGCTGACCCTCGACCAGACGACAAGCAGCGACAGCAAGCTGATACCCGGGGTCCCTAGTCGAAACATGACTAGGATTCCTAATCAGAAGCTTGGAGTTCGAGCCACCGCCAGCCGCCTCATCGGTGACTTCCTCAGCGGCAATCATCCAATGTTTCAAGACATCCATACCAGGCTGGTTACCTCCACCCTTCCCACCGCGCTTCTCGCTATCTTTCCCACGCCCGCCACGGCCCCGCTCACAGGGATTAAAATGCGTGCGGCGCAGATGCGCCGCAGCATTGTAATTGGCGCCGTAGCGCTTCCCATTTCGACAAGCCTTGCAGTTCGAAAGGAAGTACTTGCCAGGCGAGATATCTTTGCAGACCCAGACGGTGCGGATGGAAGCGTGCACGCGCTCGATATGGCGGCGCAGCTCGTGCTCGCCGTGGAAGCCGTCTGGATGGTCTGTGCATATGCTGCAGTATGTCTTTGGTCGCTGGGGTCGTCGCACGGAGGCTTTGGGGATGGCGGCGACTTCTTTCGTTGTGCCGTCCGCCGAGGAGATGCAGATCATCTTGTGGGGGTCGATCTGGGACATGATGTTTTCGGCAGATTCGACTTTGGGGGCAATGGGGCGTGCGGCCTGGGCGATTTGCTCTTTGGTGCGGCGTGCGGCACGGGAGCGCTGGTTCGCTGAGTTGGTGCTGTCAATTGAATCGGAAGGTTTCATCTCCACTGAGTCGTAGGGGAGGAGATTGTGGGGCATTGGGTAGTGGAAGGAGGTGGTTTGGGGAGCGGATGTCGAGAATGATGGGTTAGAGAAAGACGATGGGTGAGAGATGGGAGAATGGTGGGAGAACGGGGAAGACGATATGGGACCTAGGTCAGGGTACACGGGGGAGAGAAAGGGGTCTTGATACGGCAGGTCGGTGGATGCTGGCACCCACTCTTGGGGGACAGAGCCGACCGGTTCTTGATATTGTGGTCCAGTCGAGTCGAAGCGGAACATGTTGATTCCGCCCACCAAGGAATCGGTGGTCGTGCTGCGGGACATCTCTGGCGCGGCTGGTGGGGCCTGGTCGGTCCAGGGGGACCTCCGGTCAGAATATTGAGGGAACGATGGTCCGGTTTGTCCATGATTTACGAGTCCGAAAGTCAAGGCTGAGTCAAAGGGTTGACTGGGAGCGGCGTCCAAATACTTCGTGTACTCGGATGGCGAGAATTCGTCGACATGGCCGAGGGGACGATGGGTCCGTACGGGGCCGAAGGATTGTCGTTTACCCATTGTGCCACCGGCTGGCTGGTGCTGGTGGGAGACCGGTATTTGTTGGCTCTGGGATCGTACCATGGCGGTGTGTCGGTAGGAGCCTTGTCCTGTGACGGCAGCGCCGGTCCGAGGTAAGTCGGGGGAGGAGACGTGGGAGAGGTCGCGGGTTAGGTCGACCGGGAGATCCGGGGTCTGCCAATTGTCAATCCAAGGACGAATGGCGGATATTAGGAGACGAGAGCGGAGCAGAGAAGGCTGGAGCAAGTAACCAAGGTCACACATACGGTGGCTCTCCGTTTTGCCCGAGGAACATTCGAATCAGAATATGGCAACGTCCGTGGTGTCGCATCCTGTCGAGTCCGTTTCCCCAGGCTCCCAGCTGGCTGCGAGTCGGTATCCCGGTTGGGGATGAACCGACTTAGCTGTTCAATCCAGAGCTGATTTCGTTCATCTTCCGAGAGGTTGGAGTGTTGGACCAAAAACGCTTCACGATATCCAGAGATGGCACTGGTGAACAGTTCGTCATCCAGATTAACAGTCATGGCGGGTTCCTCGTCGCAATGGCCGGGGAAGTAACTGTCTATCAGTAATCAAATGGATGGAGAAAGGTGGGTATTTCTGTGAACGATTAGTGCATGCTTCGTGACAATAGGTAGGCAAGACATACGTAGAATTGGAGCGCAATAGAAAAATAAATATTAAATCGAAGGTGGAATAGGAGATCTTATCAATGCAATCAAGATGAAGATCTGCGAGATAAAATGTATAGTAAAATCGAAGAAGGAAACGATCAGAAAAAATAACAGTTGGGAGAAGAAGATGCAGATTGGGCAGACGAGTAGATAAAAGAAAGGACAAAAGTTCTGTCGATGATGAAGGATACTCCCCACAAAGTGAGATACGAGAATTAGGACCTAGCAAGAGAAGAATACTATGCTCGAACAAACATGGTAGTCGATCATCGGTCTGGACCCTTAGCACGTTCGCGTAATGTCTTTCTTTTTCCAGGACTGCTTCTACTATTCCTCCAATCCTACTTCGTATGGCCTCAAAGTGTATCCGTGTCGAGGTCAGCCATCAAGCCATCTCCCCAATGGCAGATACCCGGGTGACAGAACCGACTCCTGCTAGAAGCGAGATTCTGTTGGGGTAGAAGCTGCAGACGGCTTAGAAAAAAAAAAGAACAAAAAGTGAGGCAGCGAACCGGATCAACCCGAGAGTGACCCGAGCCAGCAGATGTGTCCTTGCTTACGAAAAGGTAGGTGACTTGATACATGTAGACTGGGGTACATGGGCACAATACATAAACAAGTCACCTTTCCCTTCAGTGGGAAGCGCCTACAGCGGGAGCCCGAAAGAAACAGCAAAATGAGCCAATTTCCCGCTTCTAGCACACCCATAGCCCAAGACCCCCCCCCCCCCTTGGATCCATTTACTATGTACGGTCGGACTAAGATCGCTCGGGCGCGTCGAGGACTGCCACGTCGACTGTGGCCGAGGACATAGCTGCAGATGACACTCGCAGGTTCAGCGCCCAATGCCCAACCAGAGATGAAGAGCAAACAATAATAACATATTCATTAATGAAGTAATATCGAAATCCCCGAGGAAATAGAGTGGCTGTACAAGAACGGTTCGATTCACGTGTTACCGTGGGTCCTTCCCGCAGCAGTCCCACGGTTCCCAATTATGCTTGTGGCTGGTCAGGGATAACCCCTTGTCAAACAGTTTGCTTGTGTTGGAGGATCAGGAGGATCAGGAGCTTCTAAGGAGCTTCTAACCGTGGAGAATCTGGTGTTATTTTTGGCTCAAGACGTGCCCAATAATTGATATCTTCCAACTCCTGTCTGCGAGACACTAGTGATGGATCATCCCCTCCACGTGATGGCTGTACGGAGACTATTTGGGACAAACGAGGTTACTGGTGCGATACTAGTACGGAGGCTCCACGGTATTCCAAGGTTGGGTGGATCTGTCTCCTGATCGGATAATGGTTGGACATTTGCTCCATTATGATGGTCCTGAGCATTGGCGACTGACGTGACCGTTGTTGCGTCAGAAGCGGCAATCTCGGGCTCATAAGAAAGGAACAAAGTGTGATCGGTCACATCGGTCTCTGTTTCAGGATAGACTTTCGCGAGAGAACACAACATACGGAGTACGGAGTCTTCCGTACGGGGTAGTCGATGAGGATCGCCAGGGTGGGCATTCTTACACTGAATACTCCGTACATCTCCTGTCAAATAGGCAAATTTCTGGTTGACGATCTATCGCCCACGGGGTGGCCTAGAGTCCTTCCAAGATTCGACACGAAATTCGCACTCACCGTCAACTCGGCCCTTTGTCTCTTGACATGTTTCCACAAGTTTC